ATATGCTTACAAATCTCGCCAGACTTACCCATATCAGCCAATCATATGCCAGGAAATCTCGCCAGACCTACTCATATCAGCGAATCATATGCTTGTAAATTTCGCCAGGCCTACCTATTTCAGCCAATCACATGCTTGTAAGTCTCGCCAGACCTACTCATATCAGCTAATCATATGCTTATAAATCTCGCCAGACCTACTCATTTCAGCCAATCACATGCCAATAATTCTAGCCAGATCTACCTATGGTAACCCATTTTCACCAAACGTATCGTGACACCGGCCAATCATACATCACCAAAGCTCGCCAAACCCACTTCTCTCAGCCAATCACGTGCAAGCAAATTTAGTCAGACCCACACATCTCAACCAATCCAATGCTTACACAGTTGCATGACTTGGAGGCACAAATCCCTATAAATAAACGCTCCCACAATTCCCACTAATTATTGCATGAATTAAAGTGGGTATTTCTAGTTTCTCTTTTCAACGTTGGGGAAGTTTGTTTACTGTTTAGTCTCTATAAACGCTGAGTCAAATGTAGTTTGTGTCCTTTGTGTAAATAATTGGTTTGTGGGTCAACTGTGAACGCTTGTGGGTGTTGTTTTGGTAATGCTATGGACAGACAGAGACAGATGAACAAATAGACAGACAGACAGACGCATAAAGATTAAGAGACAATGATAGAGATATTCAAACCGAGACAAACAGATTGGTGTATAAAGAGATGAGGATAGAACTACACACATACACACACATACACACACACACACACACACACACACACATACACACACATACACACTATGTTAAAATGCTAACCTTCTCCCCACCTTGTTATTATATATATATTTGTATCACTTATGTTACTTATATATTATTTGTCAATCAAGAGACCCATTCCTCAATTATGTAACTATAAATTTTCACCCCTTCCGACTGCCATGCTCTTTCAATAAACCGTTAATTATTCTTAGGTTCTAAAAACATTATCGTGCCGCCCTTGACATGATATAACCTCTTAAAACACAAACCTCCTGTACCCATCAAGGTTAGGTTAGATTAAAACACTCCTCTTGAGATTACTTAACAAAACTCTTACACAATTTGGGAGTGACGAGGAAAAAAAACTAACCTAACCCTATGCTTAATGTTGACAAGGAGATTGAGAAACACGATAACCTTTCACTTTTAATCAACTTGTTTGTTTATTTACGTGAGAAAAGTGTTACTCTTGATAACATTGATGACGTCACGCTGATAAACAATTCACGGCATTATTATGGAGGGAGTCTTTTTTAATCTGTTTTTAAGGCCTTGACAAAATTAACTCGGACATAGAAAGAACTGTATTTCAATTTAGCATCGGTTGAAGGCAGGAGTGAGTGTGAGAGTCCAATCTATCACGTGAGTAGTTTGAAATCCATCACTAGGTGCTTAAGAATATACAGTGAGAACAATTAACATTAAAACCTTTCACATGGGCTTAGAATCATTATATTTTACACGAGTAGCTTCAAAACTTTCACCAAACAGTGAAAGGTTCATTTGTGAATATGTTCTTTTTTAAGTGACTAGACTGACTTGCAATTTAAAGATTTTCCGATTTTAAAAGTTATCAGTTTTAAATTACATATTAGCTGGTGATTTAGGTCTGGGTATTAGCATAGAATAAATCTCTAGGGGAACAAAACTCCTATTAAATGTTGGTTTTCGCTCTAAGATTCTCCCCAATATTGTTTAACAGTTGAATGTCAGGGTTCGTTTATTATCCTTCTCCCTGTGTCTGTATCGTACCATGTGATGTCAACAGAGATTATGATCTGTACCCTAAAGAAATAAACAAACAGCTGGGCACGCGTAGGGTGTGTGTGTGTGTTAACTGTAATCTAAACGTGCCCTGTACCCTTGCTTGATTGTACCCTCACGTCAGGAACTGTATCCTAGCTTACAGCCTGTACTCTGCCTTACCGAACTGTATCTTGCATTACCAATCATCCACAGGGAGAGATAGTGTGTGTGTGTGTGTGTGTGTTTGTGTGTGTGTGTGTCATCCACTCTCTTATTCAGCATGAACTATGATGCAGTGGTGGTAGTAGTTGTGTAATCCGTAACCTATAGGCTATAACCGAGGCAGGCAGGCAGGTAGGTTTCTGGGTCAGCAAGAACGACGATAATGCCAGCGATGATAACTTGACACCTGTACGTAAACACACGCACACACACACACACGTTCTCAATTGACACGTTAATTTCACAACCTACGTGTTATGCTAAATCAGTACACCCAGAGTTCTCTCACAAAACAATAGACAAAAAACGTAAAATAATGTAGAATAAAACCAAGATATAATTATAAAGATCACCAAAATGCCACAACACCAAATTTGAACTTACAATCACATGAGAAACGGCGTGTAGACTTGTGGGTTAAGGTTTTAGCGAGTCGGTCACTCACCAGCCTCGGGCATTGACACCTGTCCACTCAAACTTCCATTCACGGACAAAAGTCATCTGGGCACGCATATTAAGTTGAGGTTTGGGTATAATGATAGAGTATGTGTTCCCAGTGTGTAAAATATATTTATAAGTGAAGAGGAATTTTTTTATTATTTTTGTTATTATTATTTATGGTGTTTGTGTTATTATACAGGCTAACACGGACACACACACACACACAAATCTAATTTTTTATCATTAACAAAATACTAGAATATTAACATCCACGCCGACAGTGTATACCTTGTGACACCTCTTCACTTATTTGGTAACTGTCTGTGTCTCTGTCAGTCTGTCTGTATGTATGTATACGTATCTGACTGACCTTAAGTAAAAAAAGTCTCATGTCTCAACCCCGCAGTACAGTTATGTTACGACCTGAGTGACTGTAATGGTATGTGCCTCTGACTCAAGGTGTTACTCAGACAAAAACCCTCTAGTTTAGGTTAGGTTATGATCGGTTAGGTTAGGTTATGATCGGTTAGGTTAGGGTATGATCGGTTAGAATACGTTAAGTTATGGTCGGTTAGAATAAGCTATGTTAGGTTAGGTTAGGTTGTAAGACCATCACAGGTAGAACTGTTAGGTTAATTTCGCTTGAAGTTAAGATGACGTATATTTAAACACTCGCATGCTAACCAACAAATCGTAAATGTAAACGGAATCGAAAATGAACTGACTTGAAAATGAAAGGACGCGCCTCATGCCTCGGGTAGTGGTAACCTTGGCGGGGAGTGTGTGTGTGTGTGTGTGTGTGTGTGTATGTGTGTGTGTGTATGTGTGTGTGTGTGTGTGTGTGTGTGTGTGTGTGTGTGTATGTGTGTGTGTGTGTGTGTGTGTGTGTGTGTGTGTGTGTGTTTCAATCAATCAATCCTCCAGTAGTCGACGCCGAAGGTTTTATTTTGTTTTTTAAATCACGATCTATTTAAGACAGTGTACGCAGGTCTCAATTTAATTACACAACACAAACAGTTCAAGTGTAATTGTGCAGGACATTACGGGGAGTTGTCGTCTAAATTACCACAAGTATAAGTAATTTTAATGTATCCAACACCTTAAGGACATCTCTTAGTATAAATAACACAAAACACATTCCAAAATAAAATTAAAATCGGATAATTAATAATGTTATGAATTCTTACCATCATCACTTTATGACTTGATCTTGTTATATTCATTCAGGTATAAATAAACTTAATTTTTAGTTCATTCAACTTATGTCTGAGACGGCTCCTGCCTCTGGTGGGTCCGGCATGGTAAAGAATTCCTGGTCACCTGAAGATTCACTCTCTTCCCCTGCCCCACCTTCACAGCTTATTTCACCTGATGATTACACGCTAGCCTAATCTGACCTGACCTAATCTAACCTAACCTAATCTAACCTAACCTAGTCTAACCTAACCTAACCTGACCTAACCTAACCTAACATACGTCCCTAATCACCCCAGTGGAGATAGTGCTCGAGCGGCTTTTTTGGGCCACCTGTTAGCTTATGATGTTATTGAATATCTCTATCTACCTTTCTACCTTCTCTAGGCCTGCGTGTGGATGTTAGACCAGTTTCTGAGACCTAACATGATGGTCCGCAATGTCTACCATCCCCTAGGTCAAAAATTTGACTAAATCTATTGCGCCAACTTTTAAACCCCCTCTCATTAGTACAGTCCAATGTTGTGGTTAGTTTCAAAATGCGAAAAATTACCGAAAATACTTTTTTTTGGGGGGGGGGGTTCTTATTAAAACGTCTTGTGAATTCAACATGAATATTCTTTGATAACTTTTGTGTTGGTATTTTTATTATCTGCTTACTCTTATTTTCCTCCCTAGTACTGCTCGAAGGTGAAAACAAAATTTATATGATGCCCAGGGGAGGTCTGTTGCCACCAGGTGTTGTACGATAACTTCCCTCCCGCTTAGAGAAATCCCCGTGACTGTAGTTGTCCATTCCAAGCATATGCCCATAATATCTATCATGTTAATATTTATTAGTTAATTCAGTGAAGCTGGTCTTCCTCGTGCAAAAAAATATGTATATATATTAATTTGAATTGTTAAAAAAGACAGACATAAACCTTCGACTTTGGCGACTGTGGCCAGGCGTGCAGTGAACCTCAACTAGTGTTGCCACTACCACGTTATACCTGTTATATTTCAAAGTTATCACTGGTACATTATTTGAATGGTTTGCACTTAATTAATTTAAGTCACAGTTTGTATCCTAAAGCACTTTCCAGTGTAACTTTTACAAATAAATCACTTTATGTAACAAATACAAAATCCATGTTTAATAACAACCTGACAACTTCACAGAATATTGTACAGTTATCGGCGTGTGTTTTCAATTGTCAAAACTTAACTACATATACATTTCAAAAATCATGTAATCCCGTCAAATCCTCGTTAGTTCAAAAGTCCATCTTGCTTAAAATGTATAAAAATAAAATCAGCGTGTAAGTGTATGATAGAGGATGTATGTGGGAGGAGTGTGGGGGATGTGGCTGCGGGAGACAACAGTGGTGGAGGTGGCGTCATACAAGGTACCACCAACTATCTCCATCATGTAAAGATGCTTAAGGAACCCTTCTTCGAGTGCCCCGGCAAGCGAGAAGTGTCCTCTCTGTGGTGTGCTCGCTTTATAACAACTGCTAAGGCTGGACTATAAGGAAAATTAGTGATATTAACTGACAAGGAGTAAATCGGTAGAAAAAAAGACTTATACTAAATGTCGTTTCTGGTTTTCACGCTGCCGTGGTGAGGTTACCTGTGCTGCAGTGATGACCAGCTAATGTGAGCTCGTCTGGCATCACATAAGTGTTAAAGAACCTGTGTTGAATTATGACTACTGTATTCTCTTCGTTACCAATATATTGTAAACATCAGTGTGTGTTATTATCGTACGGCATAGTTAATTAAGCGAATAGCCTAGAGCAACATACGATCAACAGGTTTAGGTAAGGGATCCCGAGTGTAAGGCGCTATAAACTTTTTAATTTTTTATCCTCTTCGCTACTTATCAGTTCGTTAGCTGCTTGGGCCTGTACTGGCTCATGAATGTATCTTAACCTGCCCCAGTGTTGGTCAAGTCTGGTCTTGAAAGAGCTCACACCCGGTGCCGTCACAACACTCGCTGACAGATTGTTCCAAGAATTCACATTTCTCACCCGCAAAAATTTTGCCCTCACTGTTTTCTGGACTTGTGACTTCTTCATCCTTGAGCTGTGACCCCTATGGTGCAGTTGAAGGGGAGGTGAAGATGTTGTGTTGACTGGAGCAGTACTCTGTGATAACAAGTCCTCGATAATGTTCAAGATGATAAAGAGTAAGTGGACAACCCCATCATAGTTTACACCGATAATTAATCTTAGGTTAATTCATTCATAGTTTATTTGTTGTTCACTTGTTTGTGGTTAAATTAATTAGTTCTCCAGGTAGATCTGCATTGTTGAATGTTTACCCTGTATTTATTTCCACGTATCTGTGTTTCTTACGTTACCTACTTGACATTATTGAAATGTCTTTAGTTGACATTTTCGGTGTTCCAGTATTTGCCCGTGTGAATGTGTTTTTAAATACGCTTGTATTTGTAATTAATCTTACCATTTATGAGAACAATGTTTTAGTCATGCCTCAAGAAAATGCCATACCTGGTATTTTAATCACTTCAGGTGTACCTGAGCCTAAGATAAGAGAAATAAAAATAAGTGTACTGGAGTATTGAATCTCTCTCTCTCTCTCTCTCTCTCTCTCTCTCTCTCTCTCTCTCATTTGATTTATAATGTACAAAATACGCACGTAGATATAAGCTTCGTGGTAACAGACAAATTGTCTTTTTCCTGGCCGTTGTTCATGTTCTATTGTAACTACTACTAATAATAAGAATCATTATCCACGTAGTAGACATTTATATAAGTTATCTACTGTGACGACCGTAGTGGAGTGTCTCAGGGTTGGGTGTTGTGTCGCCAGGTCCACTGTAATTATTTAACATTCACCGCCAGTGCTGGATGTGCGTCCACTGTTTTATAAACCAAACGCGGTTTGCTTAGATTAGGTGTTTTTATTATTACCGCTCAGACGCACGTACAGTTTATATACACACACGCATACGAATTCATTCTAACCCGAACGCAAATACATAAACAAACTCGCGTGTACACCCACTAAAAATTATTCAGCATCCTTACGGCGTGATATAATATGACACGGGTGCCGAATAATTTTTAGTGGATTTACGTATTTCACAATATTAGAAGAACACAGATACAGATCTAAGAAACAAGATACACGAACATACAAATATGAAAATAATTCATATACATATATGCATGCATGCACATGAATTTATCCAGGATTACATGGAACATGTCAAGAAATATATACAGGGTGTTGCATTTTAATGGAACAATATGGAGTAATAAAGACCGGGAAGGTAATTGGTCCATATGTGTCGTATTTATTCGACATTATTGACAATACATTTTTGTAATAAGCTAAATTAAAGTTCACAGCTGTGAGACAGACAGCTGCAAACTATTATGAAGCTTGTTCTGAAATTACGTAAGATATCCTCTACAGAGTTCACCGTAATTGGGTAGAATTATTACAAAAATACGTTAGTAATTATGTCACATATGTACTTTAAATAAAAGTACCAATAACCTTTTCATTCTTAATTACTCTCTGTGGTTCTGTTTAAATGGAGCACCCTTTATGGTATGGGGGAGACGTAATAATGAGAAATAATAATAATAAAATCCCCAAACCTTGACTTAATGCGTCACATGCTGCCAGGTGCAAGATGATCCCTGGGGGCGCTTGTCGCAAACACCACCACAACCACACCTTGTAAAGGAACCTGTATTGTGTTTTATCTTCGTGTTTACTACGTATTTCACTGTCTTCCAAGAAAACATTAGTTAATGTATTTTGCAATGTAGAACTATATTTGATTGCTCAATAAATAACCGTAACGAATATGAATGTATCTTAATTTAGAAGTAGCATTTCATCATTTTATTAATAAGCTATTTTTTTCAGACATTAATATGATACGTATAAATCATTATGCACAAGCGAGTTAACTCATTTATGTTATTATTACCATTATTATTATCAGTAGTACTGTATTAGAAGTAGTAATGCGCTGTGGTGTAAGTACAGATCACTTGAAGATTAGACACCCCAATTTAATTCTCGCGATGATTGAAACGCCCTAACGTAGCCTAACCGTAAGGTGGTTTTGGTCGTTATTTGGAATATGAGTAATGGATCACCTGCAGATTAGGCACCCCACCTAATCTTCAGGTGATCTATTACTCTTATTATTATTATTGCAATAATGTTATGGGTCATGCAGTCTAGATGGATTGTCCTCCTGTGCATTACGCAGTACTGTATTGTGCAATGTTTCTCTCGTGCTTCAGGTCTACGGCTGCAGCGTGGAGGGCGGTGGCGTGTAGTACGTGTTGGTTGCGTGGTGCTTCTGCTGCTGTGTGCGTGGACAGCGTTCTCCCAGAACGCCCACGATCTCCCATCAACCACCCTTAGTTAGTAATATTGTACTCAACTTTCACAACCTTGAACTAATTCACACTTAACCCAGTGTATCTTTGGTGACTTACCATAATAATTCTCGTTGTCTCCCCATACTGTACTGGTATTGTCTGCTTTGGGTGAGTCTATCTATCTTGAAACTGTGTGTGATGAGTCCTTATATAAGGGTAAGAAGTAATTAGGTTCTAAGTTCACGGTGTGTTTAGAGTGTTTTACAGAATAAAAATATATGTGTTTATTGGTAGAGATTTACGGTTGAACACAAGTCTTAACCACACGCAGCCTGTTAACACAGATCTGGAACTTGTTATATGGAGTGAAATTCCGAATCTGAAAAACAGTTCATATCGCAAATGCGAAAATATTTTGATTCAACTGTAGAAATTTATCACTGATATTAGAGCTTTCATTATTCATATATGGTGTTCATTTCGACAGGTGATAAGTTTAGCCGCTCACCAAATCTCCAGGTGGCGCCCCCAGACAACATTCACCTAGCAAAAGGTGATCATGTACACTTCAAAGTGGGGTCTCCCTCCGAGCCACACCTGCTGGGTGAACGGGCGCGTAGCCAGTCACGGCCTCTGGAGGAACGTTCCCACGCCCTGCCTCACCCCTTAGAAGAGCCCATTCAGGTAAGAGATGTGGTGGGTGTTTTGAACCTCCTATATAAGTACCTGGGAATATGTGGAGGACAGCTGAAGTGCGTATATGATGATAATATTATGTGGCCGACAAGGCCTTGAGTGATAATCTACTTGATGTGGATGTGATCGTCTTGGTTTATTGACGACGTTTCGACTAAATTTGTCCTCTGATAACACTTGACATTAACAGTACGCTACTGACGTGTGTGGCCAGACTGACCCATTGTACAGGATGCAATAAATTAGTCCCCATGCAAGGGCAAATCTAAAAAAAATCTGAAATCTTGAAATACGTATGTGAAAATCAGCGAGAAATACGAGCTATATTCGTCACTAAGAAAGGCAACACGTGGCAGCCTAAATTTAAGAGACAGCGGGTTAATTGTTCTCATTTATATTGTTTTACCTGAAATACAATAGTATCAGGTGAAAAATTATCCAGCGTGGTTTTGAAGTAGCCAAAAATTATGAGCCCTACACCCGCCACCCGCATGAAAGTTGACAAACCAGTCCAATATATCGTTTATATTGGATAAGGATGCAACTCTTCATTGAAATAGGGGTGCCCTGAAGTTGTATACTGTACGGTATATGCGTCACTGCCTCAGAAAACCTCGCCTGTGTTACACCTATGCGAATCCAGATGAAACTGTTTACGGAAAGGGAACACTACAGTGCCTTTAAGAGTCGGTTTATGCAATATTTTATTTATTTATTTATTTATTTTTTATATATTATGTGTGCCTGTGTATTGTTTATTAATTTACTCACTTATTCCGTTGTGTAATTGTAGAGCTTTATCTGTCAGTCACTTATATCCATGATATTTAGGGTGTATACAGCAATTGGTGTGTTTGATAGTTAGTTAGATATTTATGTTGGAAAAAAGTATTTGCTCCATTTGTCAGCGAGGAAATTTTTTTTATAGCCACAGTTCCTGGATACTACAGTAGATTGATATTTCCTTGTTATATAATGAACATTTCTTGTTACATAATGAGCATTTCGAATGTATATGATTTCATTGCTATACATAGATCATGTCCTTGTTATATATTAAAAAGTTTTGTTAAGTTCAACTGGATTTTATACCAAGACTGTAATTTACTATGATGTATTCATACAGTAATTTTAGACATAGCTGTGTTGCTTGTGTTATTATGGTAGTATGCTTTTGTATGAGGCCACTATTTTTACAATACTAAAATTAGAATTATGGAATAAAATGATACGGTATTATCAGACTTAAGTGAAATAAACATCTGGTTTGTGTGAGAAGTACTGCTGCAAAAAACTGTAGTAGCAAACAACAGTAAATGTACTTGTACTTGGATTCAAGTACATTATGATGTACTTGTAAGTTGTACTTGGACTTATGTCCAACTAAAAAAATTTGCACTTGTACTTGTTTTTTCTGATTGATTTGTACTTGGAATCAAGTACAGCCTCTTGTACTTGAACCCAAGTTACCCAGCCCTGGTTCATGAGGTTGACTGCTCAATAACACACTTCACATTTTTGTTGATAAATACTGTACATTACTGTCTCATCTACACAGTCTGTATCAGCTGCTTAAGAAAACTTTAGTATACTGTACTGTATCTTTACTGTATAATACAGTATTGTACAGTACTTAAAAAGATAGAGAAAAATGAGAATACAGTATTGTATCAGAAGGTAAAGTAGACAGATGGGAAGATAGAGCATAACAAGCCTCCTCACAGTCAAAGATAAGTCGTGTTACACCCCTTGTGTTATGTTCAGAAACCATGAAGAAGAATTTGAGTAAAGTCACAGTGAAGCTTCGATGTTCGAGTCTGAACGGGGAACTCTACCAAATTTCTTTGTCTTGGGTGTCAGAACATAAGGCATGGTAAGTGTAATGCGACTTTTTTCTTTGACTACATATTCCATTATTGTTTTGGTAATTTTTAAAGACTTTTGGTGATTTTCTTGTACTGTAACAAGCTATATTTGTATTCTAGGAAAGGCCTTTTCCTTCTTTAAGTACTCCACACCTTCCTTTCACAGATAAATGACCAAGAACTTAAGAAAGACCTGAGACAGGATGCAGCCCAAGCCGCTCTTATGGACAGTGACAACATAAATCCAAGATATAATGTGAAGGCTGTCAAGGACAAATTGGAAGAACTTAAACCAAAGCCATTTAGAAACCAGATCTTCTTCCATCAAAAGCAATTAGAAATTCCTGAAGGCTACCTGGAGGAGGAGTATGTTGATAATTATGAGGAAGATCAGGGAGATGAGGAAGGGAAGTGGAAAGGGAGGAACAGGAATGAGGATGAGAATAATGTTGCTGTTGAAGAGGTAGATGATCCGGGTGCTGCAAAGGATGATGTTGGACTCGAGGATGTGGGTGGTGAAGCCTTCAAGAAAAGGAAGGGTAAGAATAAAAAGAAACATTCCAAAATGAACAAGAAAGTAGAAGAGAACAATGGTGAAAACTTAAAGAGGATAGAAAGAAAGGTTAATGAAAACAAGGACATGTCTGGAAAAATGGATTTAGAGATTGGAGGCGGTCATCATGTGGTCCATCAGAATGAAAATGTACCCGTTGTGCCTGACCATCCTGATATAGAGGAAGATATGGCCGCCACTGAAAAAGATATGGCTCTCCGGAGGTCAAAAGTTATAGAAGTGTGTGGAAAGTATGGCTTGGGACCTAAACCTGTCCAAGGTGCATCAAAAACTATAAAATATCCACCCTTACCCAACTACGATGTCTTCTACATTGACAGGTGAGGGTATGAATTCATATATAATTTGATTATTGGTGCAAAATGTCCTGTATTAAATTTTCGTCTTATTAACTTGATTGTCTTTTCTGATACGGAATACTGTTCTTCCACAATAATTTTATTAACTACCAGTATCATCTTCAAATTTTCCCTCCAAATTTCAGAATCATATTTCATTTGATCAAGCTTGCAGTTTTCTACTCCTAACCTCTTGTGTATGGGGTCCCCTCTGAGCTGAATAACATCGACTAGCATTAGCCAAATATTAAAAGTGGTGTCCCCATAGTAAAGGGGTTAAGAAATTTCAACAATCTTTTGTTTCTACCCTGTATATCGTTTCTTAAAATCTCCCAATATCACCTACATTACTATTATATATACTGTATGTTGTGCTCTAACATCCACAGACCTGACCTGCTGGCTTGGTGTCCCATCTACAAGGCAGCGTCAACATCTTGGTTGTACAACTTTATTAAGCTAGCTGGTTTGTCAGAGTCATACATACAGAACACCAAGGAGCAGGTGTCTCATGTAGCCAGGAAAGTGTGGCCAGTTCAAGATTATGAGGATATTCAACAGGTGAGGAGAGAAATAAAATTAAGGGCTGTGAAATGCAAAGCAAGTATGGATAGGCAAGAGGGGGGGTAAATGCATGATGAGGATAGACATATGCATCAGAGCTATGAAACTGATGATGTTATGGAGAGCTACAGAATATATTACCACTAATGGTTCTGAACAGTACTACAGAGGAAGGCAAATTAACTTGGGTGGATTTATGTTGGATTTAGTGTGATGAAGCTGAGAAAAAATTGAAGTTTATGTTTGGGAAGATTGTAAAGGTGTTAAATTCTTCAGGTACTGTAAAGTAATTATAGATACAGTACTGTATATTATGTCCCTATACAAGTACCATTGAAGAGAACTGGCAATTATATAATATTAATGCCTGTATTCATTAGCTACGAACTCTGAGTCAAAATTTAAATTAATATGAATTATAAGCCCATTGAATATGTATGGTAAGAGATTCTAACACTAGTAGTACTATATACGGCTTGTATTTAAAAATATTAGTCATCTGGTGGACATTAGGTCACAGCTCAAGGTTGAAGAAGCCACAAGTCCAGAAAACTGTGAGGGCAAACTTTTTCTGAATGAGAATTGTGAACTCGTGGAACAATCTGCTAGTGTTGTGACGGCACCAAGTGTGAGCTCTTTCAAGACCATACTTGACTAACACTGGAGCAGGTTCAGATACATTCAGGAGCCAGCAAAGCAAGTTATTGTAAGTCTTACAGTATTGTAGTCAAGTTGTAGATTAATTATAGACCTGGACTAATCACATTATATTAATCTGTGTAATATCCAGTAATAATTTTTGATGATCCCCTCCAAATTACTTGGCTTTTTTTTCCTTAGTTATTGTAAGACTATTCTGCCAGTTTTTAGCATTTTCAGAGTAGAGTACAGTATCATGTTGTTTGTCTTAGTACAGTGTTGTGCATGTTTTTGACAGTACAGTACTGTATACCTGTGCAGGTATACTTATTGAAATACAAAGAGTGTAACTACTTTCCTCTCTCTTGACAGTCTTTGAAAGTGTGCCTGAAGTTCATGATCGTGCGTCATCCCTTTGAACGGTTGGTTTCTGCTTACCGGGATAAACTTGAAAACACGAACATTGGTAAGCAAAATGGTGTTGACCACTTCTACGAGAAATTTGGAAAGAAAATAGTGGACAAGTATCGTCCTCCTGGCAAAGGTCTTCCTGCAAATCGTTATTCCCAAGACATGGATGATCCAAGATTACCACATCCCAAAGGCATTGAACCCACTTTTGCAGAGTTTGTTAGATATTTAATTGATACAAATCTAATTTATTATGCTGATGATCACTGGATGCCTTACTATATTTACTGCACTCCATGTCTTGTCGATTATGAAGTCATTGTCAAGTTTGAAACTCTTGATCGAGACCAGAATTACATCATAAGGAAAAACCACTTGGAAAAGAAGATCCAACCATCATGGAAGCATCTGACGAATGGGAAGAAAACGTCAGATACTGTGAAGAAATACTTTGCCACCATCACCAAAACTGAACTGATGAAACTGTATAATAAATATAAACTCGACTTTGAGTTGTTTAGTTACTCTATAGATGAATATCTTGACTATGTTCAACAGTCTTAGTACCGAGCGTGAGGGATAACGTCTTTATGTGGGGGAAATATTTCAGATGCTTTATACTGATGTACGCTTATAAATATAATCCTTTTGTGGGGAAATATTTTAATATATGGCCTTTTTACTTACCTTTTGTGGGGAAATATTTTAATATATGGTCTTTTTACTTACCCTTTGTGATGGAGATTTGTTTATAATCATGCTAAAAAAGTCTCTTTAGCATGACTGATGCAACAGTTATCATCTCTTACTACTGTACTGTACATGCCTTTGACTGCACGAAAGGTTAATTGCCTGATGGTAACTTGGTAATTTTACATATGAAGAATGTCTAATACTTTAACATGTACAGTATTTTGATACATTATATCACTTAAGAAAGGGTGTGCTTTCTTCCATACATTATTTTTGTTATGAATATACAGTAAACTCTAATATCCAGATTTGTCAAAACCAAAGTCATGCTCAAATCTAAGACAGTGCCAGTTTGTTGAGAGCATATTGTATTGTAGTGGACTCCATCCCCGAGCGCCTACCAGCCAATCAGCGTACAGTATATATATATATATATATATATATATATATATATATATATATATATATATATATATATATATATATATATATATATATCATGTAGATCCACAATGAAAACGTGGATAAGATAAATCTTGATAAAAACGGGAAAAGGAAAACGGACAACCTAGCCTGTCCCTTCAAAATTTTCTTAGTCCCACCCAGTGAGGTGAGTGTATATATATATATATATATATATATATATATATATATATATATATATATATATATATATATATATATATATATATGCAAGTAAATCACTGTAGGTGCGCGTGATCTAGGTATATGCTGATAACCACAAGGAAAGAAGAAAACACGAAGTTCCCAAGCGCTTTCGTGTAATTCACATCTTCAGGGGTGAGTACAGACTAGCTGTGAGGGCAAACTTTTTCTGAATGAGAATTGTGAACTCGTGGAACAATCTGCTAGTGTTGTGACGGCACCAAGTGTGAGCTCTTTCAAGACCATACTTGACTAACACTAGAGCAGGTTCAGATACATTCAGGAGCCAGCAAACCAAGTTATTGTAAGTCTTACAGTATTGTAGTCAAGATGTGAATTACACGAAAGCGCTTGGGAACTTCGTGTTTTCTTCTTTCCTTGTGGTTATCAGCATATATATATATATATATATATATATATATATATATATATATATATATATATATATATATCGGTGAAAGCCTGGGCACTATGAGAGGGTTGTCTCAGGAATGGGCCCCGCCACTCCCTCAGAAGCTCAGTCCCCCATGACTGCCACAGAGGATAAGCATTTCGCCCCTATTCCTTATAAGCTGTTGGTCTATTAATTGTTCCTTTGTGACGACTTTTACCAAAGACTATCTTTAGATGGTCTCTGCCGTTATTGTTAGGTTAGTTGGTTTGATATAAGATAATAGAGTAGTTATACAATCACTTGGTTTACTGTCCCCGCGGAGTCATGCATTAAATAAAATAAACCTGTTGTGCAATTTAAATCATCCGCACTCAATCTTTTTATTTTATTTTTACTATTATCCTTTTTACCATTATGTCACGAGAGAATTTACACATTATTGAAACTGAACTAATGTTCGACATATATTTTTGGAGAATTATCACTGAAACTGTTTTGCCGAACTTGGAATTTTGTCTCTGTTGGGATGAATGAATAAAGATAACGTTTATTTATTAATTTTGATCAGTCGTAATTCTAAGCTATGATTTATTTTCTTTTGTAGAAAATCATTTGACCATCCTCATACTAACCTAACAACTATACATAACCTAATCTAATCTAATCTAAGCTAACCTAATCCCCAAGAAGAGTTGGAGGGTTGCATTATATTTTTGCATGTTTATCTACATTTATATCTACACCTGTAAATTATCCATTCATGCTCTATTAATGTATGTATCAAATCAATGGGAACTTACGAGTATTCCTAAAAAAAAAAGTTAGTTTTTATCTTAAGTTGGGTACCAATTGAAGAAACATGGTGACAGATAATCGTGCTGTAGATATAAGTTAAACACGGTCTGTCCTCACTGTCTAACTGTGTCGCCGCTTGTGGAGTTACTTGTGGCAGATGTGTTTTTATCAGATAAAATATACTGTTAGTGCCTAGAGTTATAGCGAAGTGATAGTTAAGGTGAGACAGGTAGAGGCGAGGAGGGTACAGGACACCCTTCCTGGACATAGTTTATGGATATATATTTATTAAGTAACATTGTATATAAATTCACATTGACTTAGTAAATTCATATGGTATTATTTTAGTTTTGTATTACCATGGAATCTGGTATTGTTAACACATGCAATAGATATATCTCATTAATCTGACTAACCTTCATTATATACTTCTCTGTCGCAAGTAAATATTTTTGATATTTATTTAGTTTTAGTTTTACACTGTCTACGATCATAACTCACTTGTAGTGGGCAGGGCTTGAAGGATGAGGGAAATTACAGGATAAAGCACCGGGAAATACTGGTCATATGATACTATAATGATGTCTACGTGCTTTGTACGCGATGAAGTTCATTATTTACCGTAAATGCTCCTCGAACAACCTGCCGAGTCAGTGCATGTGGTGTATCACTCACTTTATTTAACAACCGACCCACTCAATCTGAGCATAACTCTAATGTCCACAAAAACATAAAATTACACCATTATGCGTCAACAAAGTTGCTTTTATTGGTACCAGATATCAAAATAAGTACTTTCTCTTTAATATGGCAGAGGGTTAGCCCCTGTCTAGGAAGTTAGGTAAGATTAGGTAGGTTTCTTTGGTTGGTTAGGTCAGGTTCTATTACCGGCAGGTTTATTATTATTCACTTGTGACACAAGTGTATTGATTGGATGTGTTGAAAGTCCCAGATTCCATGGTAATATGAAACTAAAATTTTACCATTCATATATAGTGCAAGTGTACAGCATACATTGCAGTTCATGTATACAAACAGTGTACAGTACATAGAAAGTACAGGGTATACATTGTCACTGGGGGTTACAGCCTCAGTTTAACAGGTACGGCAGCTGTAAGTATTGACAGACTGTGTTGTTAATGGTTAGGTTAAGTTAGGTTATGGGTAATGTAAAATGAAACAGTTACCACCAGAAGGCATTCAATTTAGTTAATTTTTTCTTCAGATGTACTTATCATTATAGTAAGTATTTTAAGAGGCAACATTAACTAGAGCCTAATAGAACCTGACCTAACCAGCCAGAGAAGTTGTTACTGTGGTTATTGTTGACGAGATATCCGTCGCAGCCTAATTTGTTTTAATGGATCTTTTCTTACTATATTTTCATAGCTGAGTTTGGATATTGGTAAATATGCATTTTCAACCAATATGGCTCGCGAGTTCAATAATGTATTTTTCCGATAGTTTTTGATGTGTTTTATTCTATTTTGATATTGCCTTTTGTTGGAAATCACTCATTATTGAGATAGCCCTCCTACTACCAAAAAGTGATTTCCAATAAAAATAAGTATCAAAATCGAATAAAGCACATCAAAAACTATCGCAACACACAATGCTTAATTAAAAAAGTAACCTAACCTAACCCAACCTAACCTTACCTAGAATGAATACTGTACCTTGGTATTGTTGCACCTTCAGCCAATATGGAGCTGGGGATTTTTTACTTAAAAAATAAATAGATCTCATCCTGATTGATCTTCTGAACCCTACTTTTACTGGTCGCAGTCGCATATTGTTCATTTCCAAACACTGGACCCAGGTAGGTAGATATTATTTTTTGTGTAAGTACATTGGTTGTATACGTGCACGGTCTGCATACATTGTACATCTGCATTGTCTATATACATGCTGAATCAATTGTAAACTTGTATGATGATTTTTCCTGTACTGAACCAATCAATCAATCATAGTGTCCAGCATTATTTGATTGCCTGTGGGACTGGTGTTTGTAGATGTAAGTTTTTATAAGTATGTTAAGTCCCTCACTCCAAATATTTAATGCAACCTGTTCGGAATATTCTACATAAGATTCTACAAATGAGCTTCTTGACCCTTTTCAAATAATTCACTCCATTGAAAGTGTCAATGTTACGTGCCTTAGATTGATGGTCATGTTGACACAAAATTTTCAATGTTTATTTGACTGTGGATGATTTTTATAATTACTGTACAGTATTTCCCCTCAAGCATGTACTGCATATTTTTATAAAGAACAAAGTGTTTAACAGTACAAACGATAACTTACCTTCAAGTAAATAAATTTGTTTAATATGTGTTCATAATTTTAGTATGATTCCACCTACTCATCCTGTACATATTTCTTTATTTCAGATAAACATATTCTCTGGCAGCTATGGGTATAACCAGGTGCCTTGGGTGTTTAGCCCTTCACCATACCTCAGCCATTGGGCCACACAGTCGGATTACAGTTTCTGTGATGAGACATCATGCAAATGTTGCACAGTCTTTTAAATTAAGTTTAGGTAAGTTTTTATGCCTTAACTTCCTTAGGGTACATACCTGTGATGTCAAAATATTTCTTGGCAGTAATAAAATAATGTATCTGAAATGTACTCTGAACAGTTGGTACTCATCTTCAAGCTGCTACATGGGAACTGTTAAGGCATTCTTTGCTATGCCAATATAGCACAGTACTGTACTGTACATTGTATTGCCCTCTTTTAAATTCCTTTCACTAGTTAACTCAACTAGTTAGACATGTCACCTCTCCACACTTTCTGCCCCTCCCTTTTCCATGTGATTTTAGTCCAGTTTTATAATCTAGTGGCAGTCCAAGGAAGCTTATGTAAAATATGCCATCAAGTTTGGGTTTCAACTCGGGTTCAGCCCTCATCATTGATGGTTAGCAGTACTGTACTGTACTGTACATTTAGCATATCTTTCCAGTTCCAACTGGTGTCCCCTAAAAGAGAGATTAGAAGCAAGTGTTCATGAAGGGCTGAGAGGTGAGTGGCTCTTAGTGCTATAGCAGCCTGGCACACACCTTTCCTTGCTGTTGTTGACTATCTTAGAATTCCAGTAGCAAACCTCAGTCCAGTTGTCTCCACATTAAGGCAGGTCATTCACTAGATGACTCCTCTTTTTACAGAGCTAAGTATGTAGTGCTTACACTTCATTCATATAACTGTAGGGAATAGATAAGGCTATACCACACAACTCCTACAGTACAGTACTGTAGTTGTATGTAAGATGGATTCCAGCCTTTGTATTGTGTTGTAAGAGTTATTACCATTGTGCTGACAATTTAAATTACTTTAATTGATTAGTAGTTGTTTGGGGTGCCAGCCTTGCCCGTACACTTGTGACGAAGGGTAGGTCCAACTCCATTTTTTTTTATTAAAGATGTGTTTAGCTTTTTGCATTACTTAGCAGCTGTTCCTTCACAGAATCCTTTTTAAGGGTAAGGGCTGCAAGGCTGTCAGGGCTAATCTAGGCTGTCTCTTAGACTTGGCAGGTTTGATATATGAGTCTCCTTGTCACCAGTTTGGTTATAAAATAAGATTTCTAGGATCAGTCCATCTCTTAATGGTGTTTCAGGTAGACGATGGCTGTCAAGTACGTCATGGATCTCTCCAGAAGGACATGACACTGGTATTAAGTTGTACAACACTGCCAGTAGGTCAAAAGTGAGTTTCCTGTATCACTTAATGTTATAGTTTACTTATTGTGCAATATTTTTCATATTCTTATAATGATATTGGGATGTACTTGTACTGTACAGTATAATATTTGGCCTCTACCCAGTGCAGTGTATTTTATGAAGTCTGAACAAAAAGTTATGGTAATAAATGTTTTTCTGCAGGACTAAAGTTCTTGCAGTTCTTTAAATTTATTACCTTCAAGAATCGTTTTCAGTGGCTCTTTGTTTTGTACTACAGTACAGTTTTATTTGTACAGTAATTGTATTTTGAGTTCTGATACCAGTACCATCTTTTATGAGTAAAAATTAGGATTAGTTAGATTTCCAGAAACATTCAGGTAGTTTCTGTGAACCTGAAAGATGGTTCGCTAATCCTTAGTTAAAGCCATTTCATAATTTGGTATTGTTTTTGATATATTTGATGACTTTCAGGTGGCATTAAAAACTGTTCATCCAGGTCTTCTTACCTGGTACACCTGTGGCCCTACGGTATATGACTCTGCACATATTGGTCATGCTTTGTGAGTATATTCTTATTGCCTTTTGGAACAAAAATCCCTGTCACATGATATCATAATAAGAGTACAGTACTGTAATACTGTATAGGTACAGTATTATAAAATGGAGGTAGGAAGGTAAACATTGATTACCTCAGGGAATAGCACCTCTGCCCTGTCAACTAAGAGAGCATTTAAAAGTCCTACCTACTGTATAATGCCCAGTTCTCACTTTCTTAAAGTGGGTTGGTAATACGAAGGGCATCAATCTGTAAAATTTGATTCAAATTTGCATTATGGTAACTAGGACACATATCATTAGGTAATCATTCCTAACCCATGCAAGTATGGAAAATGGCTGTAAAATGGTGGTGGTGGTGATTAATACAGTACAGCACAGTTTTATGAAATCCACTTGTGTCTACAGTTCCCCTCATCCATTGGAGATAGATAAATGGAAACTAACAATTAAATTTGGACAGAAATTTACAGGCTGCTTTTATTTAATATATTTTATTTTATTAGCTCTTATGAATTGAGTATCAACAAATGTATGCCTTATTCCTGACCTCATAGTCACCATCATTGTTGGCATTAACAGATAAATACTGTACCTCCTGTTTTTTAAGGATTTTGATTACTCATAGTACAGTACAGTTACATGGTAACAACTGTAGAGTGAACAAACCTCATAGACAAGATCCTCTTATGATACATATTCAACTCTAAAGACCAGAGTATTGTGACTTACTTTTTGGAATATACAGGATACAGTATAGGAATCATTTAGTGACACCTACCTAGTCACCAGAAAGGAATAGTGTACTTTCATATAGAAAGATATCTTTTTATTTCAGTTAATTATACCCTCTTCAATGAATGGCAGAAGCGTTGGGCTAAAATGCTAAATTAATTTGCAATGTTCCATTTATTTAATTTACCGAGATGTTACAAATACGTAATATATTTATTGTACGTATCAGTCTTCTGTATGTGTTGTTATGTCTTCCAGATGCTACGTGAAATTTGATATTATACGAAGAATCATGACGAGAATGTTTGACCTCAATGTCGTGATGGTTCTTGGGATCACGGATATTGATGATAAGATAATCAATAAGGCCCATGAGGTAAGTGTAGCATTAAAATTATCTTCTTTTTTTTTCAAGTTGCTGCAAAGATCATTGAACTTCCACCTGCAATACTCATACAGTATGTTCGTCCTCTTCCCAAAGTCCCAACAATCATCATGTGGTCCATGTAGAATCTCCTTCTTGTTGCTGAATGTGTTAACACCCATGCAGAAACATTCTACTTCAACTCAGGATCAGTTCTGCCATATTTACTCTACTGTACAGTTCATGTATATTTTTTCTAGAATGTAAGAATATCGTTGTAACTCAGACACATGAAAATTATAATTGTGTTTGGCTATTATTTGTTGAAAGACTTGTGAACATGGGCAACAATACATTGCTTTGTGATTGAAATTATAGTCATAATTTGGTCCCAGGCAGTAAGCAGCACTACTTAGTCTGTTTTAGTAAACTTAAACATACGGTCACCTCTTCACTCCATTCTTTATATTTATATTCTTCATTACTGTCCAAGCTTATATTAGTTAGCTGCTGTTCATGCATTAGTGTCTCATTACCTCAGGGTGTTTCAGCCCTGCCTTGCTAACTGCTCCCACCCTGTGGATTGGCATTAGGAAGGGCATCAATCAATAAAACATTGCTTCAACATACCTGATGGCAATCGGGTCACCAGGGCTGTACCCATCCCCTGGTTACTGCTGCATTTTCTGGGCTAGTGTGCTTAGGTGACGCACCAGCCCCTAGGTTTTCAGTGAGTGTGGGGGACACATCCTGTTCTGGTATTACCCTACAACTGCCATCAGTTAATTATGGCTAACCCACGTGTGAGTGGAAAATGACCATAAAATGTTGATGATGAGGATATTTTTTATTTAATGCAATTGTCTGTTATTGGAATAATTTTAAGAAAAAAAAATAGTTGCAGATCAAAAATTTCCATTACTGTTATTTGTTATAGCTGTAGATAGCTCGTCTTTCCTTGCTGCTAATTAAGATAGTTTTTGTTTATCTTTATTTTGTAGCTCAATCTCACCTCTAAAGAAGTTGCCGAGTTATATGAGGAAGAGTTCTTTGAGGACATGGATCGTTTGCGAGTACTTCGCCCTACCTCTGCTCCGAGAGTAACTGAACACGTGCCCCACATCATCTCCTTTACCAAGGGGATAATTAATAGAAAATTGGCTTATGCAGTTTATGATGGTGAGTTTATGGGGAACTTGACTTTTTATCAAATTCTTTAATGTTCCTCACATTTAGGGAGAGTATTTTGTCTTTCAAGTCATCCAAGGCACACTGCTGCACAGTTATATGGCAAGTGAGGAGAAGCCTAAACAGAATGTAAGCCTAGGAAGAAGAGAATGTTTGTAGCTCTTTTAAGGATACTTCAAAGCTGCTATGGATTTATGTTTTCAACACTTGACTTTATATTGCACTGTCATAGTTAAGTAACAGGTGTTGGGTAATGACTGTTACAGTACAGTACTTAACACTGTCAGTACAACCTACGTGGAAGTGAAGGTCACGGTGACCTTTTATCCTCTTAGTTTAGATAGAGGAAACTCCACCAAACTTTCTCTCAGGATAACACCCTTGACAGGCAAGTCAAGCAAAGAGCATCCGTCAAATGTATTTACAGTCATGCTAAACAAGACCAAAGACCGAAAATTAAGGAATAAATTGTAAGGGGTTATGGGATAGAATATTTTGGGTGGTCGAACTGACAAAGACAATGGATCCGAGTATACAGTACAGTACATTATTTAGAATATTTAAAAGTCAATTACACTCTGCCCATTAGTTTTAAATCACCTTTATATACGTTTTCTTAAAAATATAGACTATCTTTACTATATAAACATAATACATACTGTAGTAATTATTATTTTTTTTTTAATGTCGTTTGGCGTTAAAAATATGCCTGACCTAATACTGTACCTTGCATTTTGGCACTTGGGGTCATACCTTGAATTTTGTTCATGTTTCATACAAAGGTACTAATGTACATGTTGATGACAGGTCTGGGTCTGCAATTTAAAAATTCAAGTAATTAGTTTTAATTAATTCAGCCTACCAAACCTGACTGTGGGAGGTAAGCCTCTCTCCTTGCTGAGTGAAGGACAAAATACCCTCAAACTAAAATGTGCCCAGGACAAAAGTATAACCTAATCTAAGCTAACCTTGAGAAGCATTAATAAAAAAAAAGGTGAATTTTGTCCTACTATACACTTTAACTAACATTTTAATTGTGTGTGTGTTGGGGGGGGGGGGTGGGTTGACCTCCCTGAAAAAAGTTACAGTGGATGCCTATGTACAGAACTATTGTCCTGTGTGTACATTATAGAGAAGTTGAACTTTTGGATATTGCTACAGCACTATCCTCTGCAATAGCTATAGACCAGCTATGTACTCATGACCATTCACAACTTTACCCTTTATGAATCATATGAAGATTAGCTAGTCTTCAGGTGATTCATATTATTAAGCTACATAATGTAGAACTACAATGGTAATCCAGCAGCCTTGGACAGTCCAAGTGCAATGTTATTTTAGTTGAAGTTATAGTTTGCAGGTACAGTCAGTCCCCGACTTACGACGGGGTTAGGGACCCAAATCCAGGTCGTAAGTCGAAAATGCGAAAATAATGCATAGAAAATCTAAAATGGGTGTCTCATTTTTTCTCAGCACCACGAAAATCACACTTGCCAGCCATTTTAAAGGGAATTACAAACGAAAATTTTGTCAGTACACAGTACAATCACTAACGTCGGGACTCGAAAATACGTAATTTGACAAAATTTTGGTACGACTGGGGCGGTCGCATGTCCGGGTGGTCGAAAGTCAAGTGGGTCATAAGTCGAGGAGTACCTGTATACTGTACTAGATAAGAACAGAAGTTGGTTATTAAATATTTGGTGTAACTTATGCATGATTCTGGTTCTTTGAAAACTTAAAATAAATCTCATTTTTACCTATAGAGAGACTAGGATATGTATTAGTTTGTAAGCATCCTTGTTCTTTCAGGTTCAGTGTATTTTGATACTAAAGCTTACGGCAGGTATGGGAAAATGTATCCACTGGATGAGTCGGTAGAGAGGCAGGTAACTAACATAAAAAAGTCGCCCCGAGACTTTGCTCTGTGGAAGGGAGCTAAGCCTGGGGAACCCTATTGGTCCTCACCCTGGGGTCCTGGTAGACCTGGATGGCACATTGAGTGCTCGGCCATGGCTAGGTAAGTTTGGCCACAATTGTACATATATTTTATGTTTTTTGGGTACAAGTGTGCCTATATTTCTAAGTTTTTCGTCATAAATGTAAATATTTTAATTTTAAAGTTTCATCATGTACGTATACATATTTTTTACAATCTTTGGTCACAGTACTTCTACATATTTATTAAAGGTTTAGTTTACAAGTGCAATCTATGTAAAGAATTTGGTAAAAGGTGTACACATTTTTGTAGTGTTACTATTTTGTCAGAAGCGAGCCTATCTTTACAGTACAGGTGTAATATTTCAGTTTTCTAAATATTGTTTACTTAACAATCTTGACCCGGTAAGGGTTTTCATCTAGTTATTGTATCTGTACTGAATACCTCTACTTGTCTCTGCCCCTCCACCATTAAAAACATCAACTTAACCTTCAAGAAAAGTATACAGTATGCTACTGTATGAGTATTTTAGAGTCTTATGAAGATTAGACACCCCAACTATTTTTCATCTGATGATTAAACACCGTAGCTTTACCTTGGGATTATGTTAGTTGGTTAGCTTAGTATAAAAGTGTTTAATTATCAGGTAAAATCTTCAGGTTATCTTCGTTTTGTTTTCTCCGATATATAATTGGCAGCTGGAGAAACATGGTAGACAAAGTTAGGTACAGTATTGTGTGTGGTGCATAACTTAAAAAAATATTACTGTATATAAGATATTATCAAGAGAATCAACACATTATGTATCATCAGACACCAGCTGCCTAATAAATGTTGATATTGATAATTAATCAGGTCACTCACAAGTACTTACAATGACCTCAGAGCATTGGGGGGAGGGGGGCAGGGTACAGTACTCCAGTAATGACTACAGTGTTGTTGACAAAGGTGGGGGCCAAAATCCTACGAAATTCTTGTATGATTTGGCTGATCAGGTGAGAATACATACTGGAATCTATACAGTCTTATACATATTGTCATGAAGTGAAGTGGTCTTAGAATGTTGAAAAAGACTGGGGACAGTGGCTTGCTTCTGCTAATGTGTGTGTGTGTGGAGAGGGGGTGTACTGTGCCTTAAGAACCTCATTAAGGGTGTATTTATGTTCATGTTCTTACAGTCATATCCTGGGAACACAGCTGGATTTACACTCAGGAGGAGTTGACCTAGTCTTCCCACACCATGAGAATGAGGAGGCTCAGTGCTGTGCTTACCATGACGTTGATCAGTGGTGTAATTATTGGATTCATGTTGGTGAGTAAAGGAGTCACAGTGGGTAATGATGGTTGGATGGGCACCTTTGTTCTTGTTCAGGTCGACCACTGATTTTCCGGCACCATCGAGGTCAGAGCCACCACTCCAGTAATCTCCAACCCAAGAGTCATACAACCTCATGCTAACTCTAAAGCACTCTGGGCTGCTAGAAAATAAATATGACGTAGCATAAGCAATTATTAAAAGAAAATTTAATGGAAAACAGGTACAGGGTATACTGAGGTTTATTGTGGACTTACATAACTGCTGCTTTACTTCTGCTCCCAAAGAGATGAGTCATAATGTAGAAGTGATTACATTTATATTTCTGCAAGTGGGGGTCTGTCTGGATTATCTTCTTCTTCAACTTGGGACATCACTGTACACTACACCTTCGTGAATTCAACAAAAAAGAGGGCTCTGGGTCACTCGAATTACAGTACAGTACCTACAATTTCCGAATTTTTGTGTTCAATTATTCGTTCAGTTTTGGTTCAGTTTTTGTGCCTTGCCTTGGCTGCTCTCCTCCCTCCTCTGCCATCTGCTAGCTCCTCTCCCGGGCAAAGCACTCAAACATAGTTTTGTACAGTATCTTAATATAATTCATATTACCTTGTATATTCCTATTATTCATTCATCTCAATCTATTACATAATAATGTACGTGTATACAGTACAGTATTCCTATAATAATACTCGACTTTTCGGAATCATTCGGTTATAGGTAAAATCCAAGATGTAATTTGTATCAACACACCAGATTCACACCAGCGAGTGGCCTTGACCACCACCACCACACCAGCTGATGCTATAACAGTGTTACCATCTCTGAAACTGAATTCCTGCCAGTTACTGTCTCCTATGAGGAATAAGATAATACAGTATATACTGTACCAGTAAATGTGAGGAATAAATCAAAATAGTATTGATAAATAAAATAATATGAAAAAACTCTATTCCCATTTGGCTGCTGGACAGTGAACTTTGTCAATCATTTGATTACACAGGAGAGACAGCTGAGATCCCTCACTCCACCGTCCCCCACTTAACACACAAAGAAAGTTTATTTCATTTTATGTTTTTGATTTCATGATAAGTTTGCTTTTGCACATTCTTTATGTAAGATTGTGTGTGCATGTAACCAAATAAAAAAAGTTATGTACTTTATATCTATCTGAAATTACAAGTTCGACAATAACACATCACAGTCCAATAAGGTTAGCCTACCATGAGCATGTCCCGGGTAGCTATTATTCACCAAAAATGTGCGGTAAATTTGAAATTTCACCACTTTAAAGTTGTTCGGACCATCAGATGCTCCAGATCAGTGATTGCTGGAAAATCGGTAGTCGACCTGTAATTAAAATGGCTGATAAGTTTTATAATTATGAGTTTTAATTACAGTGTATTTGTTGGTGTTATCATTACACCCATGCCAGTGAATGTTGGAAGTTGTACCGGATTGAATTATTCCGCCTATCTGTCTTCCTCTCTATCACACATTATTACCTTTTGTAATAAATTCAAATTTATGCCTAAAACTCAACAGAGGTGTATCTCACAGGCTGAAGATATGCATAAGAATTATTTCACACCAGCTTCAATTCTCTATTATGTTAAGGTTATGTTGAATTTTGAACATGTACAGTACTGTAGTTTTAAATGCAGTATTAGCATTACCGGTATACATTATATATTTATTAAAAGTAGCACAAATACAATTAAGATGCTAGGGATCCTGGTATTGCCCGAATTTATTTTTGAGGGGCAGCTCATGGCCTATGTCCATGACTACTTTACATCAAGAGAGTTCCACCTTTGGGAGTGGAGCCAAAATCTTTGGGACACTTCTGAGGTGCTTGCACATCTGTGTGTCAGATTTCAGTTCTATCTTCACAAATGTAGCTGGAGATTGCAAACAGGCAAATAAACACACAGTCTCTGTTCTTTCTATATATTGTACTGTATATAGATAAGTAGACAAAATATAGTATATATTATTCATCAAGCTTTTAACAGGATTATTTTCATTATAGGTTTCCTTCGCACCAAAGGCACCGAGAAGATGTCCAAGTCTTTATTTAATACAATAAGCATTGAAGAGCTGCTAAAGGAGCATTCTGTCAACACCTTCCGTCTGTTCTGCCTCCTCTCACATTACCGAAACAGTTAGTCCCCCCATGTTATGTCGTATTTCTGCCGCCTAAGATATTTTTAACAAAGCAACATACAGGCATTCCCCGAGTTATGAAACGGTTCCGTTCTTGAAAAACTTTTACAAATCAGTTTTTTGTGAATTGGATTACATTTTCCTGTACACTCCTGTTGTAAAAGCTGAGATATGTTCCTACGAAGAAAAAAAGCCCTAAAATATCACAAACATGTTTTTAATGAGTTTTTGGTTTACACAATGATTATAAGTTCCAACCAAGACAAATGGTTTTATTTGGTAGTGTTGCACTAATATTAAGTCTACTGCACTGTACAGTCTATAGATATATTTTGAGATGTTTTGTTTTAAATGGAATTGATTTTTGATGAGGTTTTGTGGGAAGAAGAAAAGCTAAACATTCATTTAATATTTTATTATTTCTATGTACAGCCGGGGTCAAAAGTTCACTCCCGCCGAATATGAAGCAGCATCGTCCCCAAGTGAGATGAAACAGTCAGGCGTAAGTCAGTTCGGAGGCTCATTTTCATGACTCGGTTACACCACGGGGAGTGAACTCTTGTCTCTGACTGTACATCAGATCAAACTCTGGACTACTAAACACGTCAGTGTACACACATAATGATCCTATCTCACTTAACCACACTTAACACAGCACAGTATAAACTGTATGTTATTCTTAGTTTAGTTGTCCTTATAAACTGACCATGTCTCGTACGGGAACCCCTGAAATGCTTGTTGTATCTTCCAGTGCTGTGAAAAATTAACAGAAAATTTTTATTTTGGATTTCTCGTATATAATCAAAACATAGGATAGATTTTTTGGGGCGTAACTTCTGATTTTTGTAAACCAGATCTTCATAAATTGGGGACTGCTTGTAATTTAGAAACCTTAAAAATGGCAGACAAATTGGCAACCATTTTCTTTAATTTTGATGCTGTCTTTTCCAGTTAATATGTTGATGGCCTGTGTAGAATCCCCCATTGCTCTTAATTATCTAGGCTAGTACTGTACTGTTGTTATTGCCAAATTTTCATGCTGGTAGACTGTTTTGTAGGTCTACTACACACTATGTGAAGAAGTACTTATTGGAAGATGCACTGAAGATAAGAATTCTTATTAATTTAGAATGACACACTGGCAGTCATTATTTTCCCCATCATCATCACCTTTTTACACCCATTCTGAGTAAATTAGTATTAATCTAGACAAGTGCAAATAATTAACAATTGAAAAGATGTAGAACATTGAATGCACAGTAATCCCGTGTTTTTCGCATTTTTTTTATCGCGGTTTTGACCATTCACATTTTTTTTACTAAAAATTTGTATGTCTGTATATATAACATATCCTTTAAAATTTTTTTTTTTAATTTTGCGCCATTTTCGATATTACCCTGTGCGGTGCGGCAAACAGACGCCACTCTTTCTCGCCTCAGACACCAGCTGCTCCGAGAAGCCTCAGTCCACACGTGCCTACCGTACTGTGAACGCTACTGTGACTGCGTGAGGGCGGGCAGACGCCGGGACAGCAGGGAGAGGCTGGTAATGCGGGTGTTGCCGACCTCAATGAAATATAAATTTTTTTATTGACTTGTAAATAATTTTGTTTTGTATATAACTGTGTTTACGTTTTTCCATTACTGTATTATATTACAATATGATTAGTTTCAAATAATGATGTTAGGAAATGCCGGTACAGTGTATCAGTGATCAGTGTGACCACTGGGCCGTGTGTGGAGAGCATGGCATGGTTAAGTGCATGACCTACCTGAGCTGTTTGGTGGCTACAGTGATTCCTAAAAGAGTATTTGCGGTTTTAGATTTTCGCGGGGGTTTCAGGAACGTAATTCCCGCGAAAAACACGGGATTACTGTACACAGAGAAAGTCATAGTTGGTCTTACTTTAACCCAAAAAATTTTTTTTTGCAGTGTATACAAGTGAATGTTAAACTAAAAAACTTTTGTCATCAATTAAAATAGTTTATTGCCCATTTCTTCTTTTCAGCACTGATATATTATATTTGATATTCAGTACTCATTCACTGTTCTTTTAGAAGTAAGAAATTTTGCTAACTTGTATGTGATATATGATATTTAGAGGTGGAATATACTCAGACGTCCATGGCTCAGGCAAAGGCACACCTGCGACGGATACGTTCCTTCCTCCATGATGCCTACGCCTACATAAATGGCCAGCTGAAGTGTGCTCCCCTTGATGAGGCAGCTCTCAAACAGGTGAGTCCTTGATTTCATATGATTATAGAAACTTAGTCAATATGCTTTATTGATGGGGTTATTCCTTATATGATTGACTTTTTCAGGGTCACTGAAACCAACATTTAAGCAAGGAAGAATGGAGAGTGTTGAGACAAGCTGTTGTGTCTTTAAAGGCACAAACACTTTTTATCATAGACAGCTGGAAAGTCACCATAACATAAACATCAGTGTATGAGAAGAAACACACAATGGCATCAACATTTTATCTGCCATTGTGGGTTTCTTCTTATATTTTATCATAGAGTTGGGAATTAATATGTTTAACTAGTTTAGCAGCAGAAAAAAACAACCAAAACTCACAGTACTGTACTGTAATTAATGTATGATTACGAGTGACATAATTTTTATGGCCATTAGCACAACTAATAACTCTACCAAAATGCAACATTGTCCTGACCATCTCATACTCCTCTCATCTACTTCGTCTGTAATTATTGTTTCATTCATACTTCTGTTTTATTTATTTAGCCCGATACCATGTTTGGTGACTTACAGTTATCAGTGCAGTATGTTATGAATCCCAGTTGGTGAAATCCAAGATTGAATGTGATAAAGGGATTTGAATTTTACTTTGGGACGTTTCACCCCTTTATGGCAGGTATGGAAAACTGTTAAGCAATTACATTGACTTCTTTGAAGAGGAAATTTTAAGAAGAAATAATACCATAACTGAATGACTTGAATATGTAGCACTTGATAATGTTTAATAGACAGAATCACGACATTGCTGAATGGGACACTAATATAAGATTGAAAAATAGGTGAATGTAAGGTACGTATAGTTAAATCTTATTAGCATGATCTAGAGTTTATTTTAGAGTTTTTATATGATTTTCCAGTACAGTGACCCCTCCGTTAACGAACTCAATCCGTTCCAGAAGGTCGTTCGTTAACCGAAAAGTTCGTTAACCGAAACCATTGTTTCAATGGGTTTTTGGGTAATTGGTTCCAGCTCACCGAAAATTTCCTAAATTCAACAAAAATGGTAGAAAAGTTCACTTACTTTGAGGTGTGTATGTAGAAGGCTCCTGGATGATGATGATGATGATGATGATGGGATTTAGAATGGGGCTGGAGGAGAAGGACGAAGAGAAGGCATTGGGGTGGAAGAGAAGTCACCCCATGGCGCCATTTCACCCATAAAATTTTAGCTCTCTTGGTGTAATTCAAGATTATTTTCTTTAAATCAACACTGCACTGCATTATATATTGTCAATATGTAAAATATATTTCAAAATGACCAATAATTTGCTTGGAAACACAGAAAAAAAGCATTTAGTTGAAGAGAGTCTCAAGCAAGATGTTACCTCCAGTGAAAACAGAGAGAGACTAACTCCTGTTTGCTGTGTTAAGAGGCTGGATGCCGTGCATTAAACTAGTCACTTTACCTTCAATTATGTTCAATAATTGTTAAAATGGCTAAAAAATTGAACATTAAACTTTTAAAATTATTGAATAGTATAAACTTCTTGATATTTACTAAAATAGTAAGGAATTTAAGCCCTAGAACCGATTAATGTATTGGCGGACTGATACTAAAGCTGGTTGCCCGGTCAGTGCAAGCGAAAACATGTTGAGGTCGGTTCGTAAGAACTTTGTAAACCAAATTTTTTTTCGTTAACCGAATTGAAGATCCTTATGGAAGGCAGTTCGTTAATCGAAATTACGTTAACCGAGGTGTTCGTTAAACGAGGGGTCACTGTATTTTGTGTGATGGATGGCTGTATGACTTGTCTGAACTAGTAAATGATTTTGAAGAAGTATGCTGGAGGATTTGTTTGAGAAATGGGACAAATTCTGCTGTACTGTTAATGAGAATGGTGAAGGAAGAGGAGTTGTATAAAGATGTAGTGAGAGAGCACAGAATGACTGTACAGTACTGTATTATGAGAAGATTTTTAGGTATTACTTTGTGGGTAAATGCGATACAATTGTGCATGAAAAAATACTTGTTCCAGCTTCTGTGTGTGTTTTTGAAATTTGGATTTTTAAAAACAACTGTGGAATTAAGAGATCTGACAGGGATGAAAAATGATTGGTAAAGTGAAGAAGTCATTAAAATGTCGTATGGATTAAAATATGTTGGAATGGTGTGGGTGTATAGAGTGACAGTGAGAAAATAACAGTGCTTCAAAGAATAATGAGCACACTCACAAAAGGTAAGAGTGTATCAATAAATACTACAGCAAGAATGAATTGAGAGGAGAAACAGCTGTGACACTGTATGGGAATAGGGAAGCTGTATGAGAGGTACTACAGTGTGGCAAGTGTGTTGCATGCTATTTAGATGGGGTTGTTGGAAGTATCTTATTCTTTGGTAGAGAATGTATTGACTTTTAGAGAGGTAACACTAGATATGTCCATACTAGAACTGTGTTGAAAGTACAGTATTGTATAGTGAGGTTTTTTAGTGGAATAGGGACTTAAGATTTTATTGAATCCACATGTCACCTGCTTATATCCCATAACTTGTTCAGGAGTTGGTTAGATATGCAGATTATAAAATACTCAGTGAAATTGGCCATCACTTGGTCATTTTTAGTACATATAGATATGCTTGTTAACACATGTCAACACAAGAACTCCTTCAGTTTCCCGTGGGCATATTTTTTCTTAAATGAATGTTAACTTCCTCGACATCTCAAGAACCTAGTAATTAGGTTTTGATGATCTTGGCTACATTAAGAAGAGTAGCACATGATGTTTATGCTGTTAGGCATCCACAACCATCATAGCTTGATCTAAAACTCATGAAGGTAAATTGTTAATGCTTTGTGGAGTATTTAGTCTCTATAAGATATACCTTTGGGAAGTTTGACCTTTAAGAGGTGAAAGGTGTAGGTCATAGGGTCAACTGTTACTTTTTCTTGTCACAGCTCAAGCACCGAAACCACTAAAGATACATTGGTGAAACTTGGATGGAGGATAATTGGTCACTTGAAGATGTACCTTTTGGGCGTTTGACCTTCAAGAAGTCAAAGGTCAGGATCACAGGATCAACTGTTACCATCTCTTGTGAGAGCATTAGCTCTGAACTGCTTAAGGTACATTATTCACACTTGTGATCACCTGAAGATGTGCTTCTTTTAGGGGGTTGGCCTTCAGAAAGTAAGAGGACAAGGGTACAGAGAAAGCTTTTACCTTTTCTTGTTTTGATTTTGCTAAATGTATTGTTATGCATATACAGTATAGTTTAAAATGTTATATGTAATGGTGAAGCTACTTGAGTTTATGTCTTCCACCAATCTATCCATTGTTGCATCCATCAGTGGCAGAATTCTTAACTGGAAAACAAGTACCACCCTGCCAGAGCACAGGAGTGAAATGTGGTATAATTGTGATAGACATGGTGCAAGAAGATCCAAACCAAAACAGTGTTTTAGTGAAATTTATCCAGTGATTGTAATTCAGTTTCTAAATTGGTGTTTAACCCTAATATGGTGAGTCAAAGTTTAAGTAGGTTAGAGTGAGTATGTCATTTAAATTGCTTTCATTTCATGGTTTAATGTTCAAGGTGAATAAACTTATTAAGCCATATTGTCTTGATAAAGTTGCCCTGAATAAGTTAAATTCCAAGAATAAGATTTCTTTATTATACAATACCAAGATTACATTTACAGGATCATCTGTAGATTCACCATTATGATTCTCCATCCATTTTAGGTATTCTCAGTTAAATACAGGTAATACTTCATCCCCAAATGCATTTATCTGACCATTCAATTATGGCTCCTTGGGAAAAGTGTAGGTGAAGGCTGTACTGACTTATCTTGGATGCTCATTGGAGATGGGCTGCAGGAGCAGTCAGAATCAGTTCCATAATGACAGGACCACACATACATATACTGTACATACATACATACATACATACATACAATGACAATAGCATCAGCCAGAGACTGATGTGGTCAGTCTCAGTAACATAGTAACACCATACATACATACATACATAAACGACCTGTACTGCACTCTAAAGGTAGTTTTACCCAACATACTAGAATGAAAATAAGAAATGCCTGATAAGTATTAAGGATGCTACAATAACTGCTATTATTCATTCTTATTATGCCACAAGTGTAAACAAAATATTCATTCAAGATGAAATGGTTTCAGGAGTCACGGAGTCAAACTTTCTCCAGACACATCACATAGTTATTGATGATCATTCTTAGCCTCCCTACAACAAGAAGACTCAGGGTACTAGCATTATTATCAGTTATTTAATCTTAGAAAGCCAGGTGCACCTTTTTGTTTGATTTATTGATGTCACTTGTCAGTTTTGTTAGTAAAAATAAAAGAAACATGAGAATGGGATAATATTTAGTAATACATCTTGGCTTGTATCTTATTACACATGTTTATCCAACTAATTACTATTAACTAGCCATTGCATAGATATCCATCAAATGTGGATTCAGGGTAATAGATAAATGACCTTATAATTGTTTTCATAACCACAAGAGTCAAGTTAAGAATAATTCAAGAAATGAGGTAAAGTATCTCTCTAGAAGAAAACAAGATTTGAACACTGAAGAATGAACAGTGGAAGACATTTAGGTCGGAAGAAACTATATGGGACCAGGAGGGTAAATAGCAATGAGATTGATGTTTTTCTAGAGAGCTTCGAGTTTGTGAATGAAGTATGAATGACGTAGTAGAAATTTTTGAATGATAATTGCTGATTTAGTAAGATTGTGTACAGTATACCAAATGCTTTAAGGAAGATGGACAAATGGAGTTTGGTGTACTGTATCTGATTGCAATGAATTGGTTTGGTTGGATGTTAAGAAATTAGGTAGGAGGATTGTGTTAGTAAAATATGTGTACAGTATGTGAAAGAGAAACGAGATTGTGTAAAGTGGGCCCTGATTGAATGGTTTGGAAGAGATTGTGTGTGGATCACTCAGAAATGCAGTGGGTAATGTGTACATGAATGGAATTTTGAGTCGTGTTTTTTTTTAGTTGATTATTTTTTCTTCATATAAAGCATAAATGGTTAGGAAAGAAGAGAATGAAATTGGAACAGAGAAAAATAAAACCCAGGAAATTGACCCTTACAATCCACACTGATTCAACATAACAGAGCAACCTTGTCCTTCTCCCTGTGTACTGTAATGATGGAACAATGTTGTCACACTTTCTAGTCATGCCCCGGTCTTCCTAAAATTATGGATATTATCATTTGAAGCCAGAAAAACAAATGAGCTTTTAAATATGTCAACCTTACTGGCCATTTTCTATCAGTCATAAATATTGATTCATTACTATCTGAACTGATTTTTCTCCTTTGTCATTGGATAAGGAGCTCCTCAGAGAATTAAAACATAATGAGAATTTTCCAAAGACTTGTAAATGAAATTTTAGCTTCTCTTTCCCTTCCACACGAAGCCGTAACTCAGTCCCATTCAAAGTGTGTGAGTTGTAAAGTCATTATATTCTTTGTTTCAGTTTCATTCTCGCTAATCATCTATATGTATGATTTACTCTTGTACAAACTAAGTAAATAATGTGTTGGATTGAGACAGGCGGACATTAAACAAGAGAGATTCAAAGGTTATATTAAATAAACTTGCTGATCTCTCTAGGTCATTCATTAATATGGTACAGCTGAATTTGTATTTGTATTGACAACTTTTGACCATTTTAACTTTGTTTTTCTACAGAACCCCTTTGGTACTCCTTCCCCCCTCCCCCCTCCCAACACCAACTTGTGTGAGTCATTTGACCACTTAGCCACACCACACAGTCCTGTTAACTCCCATGTTTTTATTATGCTGTATCCAATCATTACTGTACTTATTTGGTTTTAAATGAAGACAGTAGCCCTAAATTTTTCTTAAGAGATACCTGTAAACAGTGTACAGTATTTTCAGTGCTAGATTCCACTGAAAATTGATTTCTTATGATCTCCCACAAATTGTGTTAAAAATTATATTGTTGACATGCAGTATTTAACAAATGTTATTATATATTGTATTTGTTTGTGGATGTCAATTTAATTATCTGAAAATCTACCCATAAGTCAGGTAATGCACAGATGGTACCAAATTTATGATATCAGAAAGGTTGTCTGTAATACAGTACGTATTGTACGTATTAGTCAAATTTCCATCTTGATGACCTATTGCCCCCCCACCCCCACTTACAGTATGTCTTCCAGAATTTACTCAAATTGATAATCACTAAGTAAATCATTATTTGATTCACTACTTTTCTAATGTCAAGTCAAGTAAATTTTCAGTCAGTATTCACTCTTAACTAGTTAGTCTTTCCTTTGACAACTGAAACACTTTTTGCTTGCTGGTCACACAAAGATGGATGGGACATGTATTTGTGTACCAGATAAAAGAACAGACTGCTTCAGATAACCATTGGAGATAACTACCATCACCTCTGATAACCCATAATGACATACTATGCCATTTGTAACTGTCATGGGTGACATAATACTCTTAGTATATCCCTGTACAGTAAACCATATCAGTTGAAATTATCCTTAAAACAAAACTGAATTTTTTAGCATGTTGGATTTATGTTTCATAAACTACAAAGTATATATACATACATTATACATAGGCCTATTAGTGAGACTCTCCTAAAATATTCAACCTGTTAATGGCCACTGCTGACTCACACAGCAGCATATACAACTGCCTTCATATAACAGGTAAGTAGTCTTGCCAACTAATAAATTGCCTTTGTGTAATTTTATTGGCCCAAATTGATTCTGAGTTCAGGTTTGTTGTAACTTTCAATCGTGCTTAACTTTTTATCACACTAATTTTCCCATATATTTCTGCTTAATTATGCTATCCAAATGTATTACTTCTATTCTTTCTTTCCAACTTTACAGGAGTAACACAGCAACCATAAATATGATTGTGGCATCAGGCATTGTTTATATATACAGTACAGCCACTCCTCGACTTACAACGGGATTAGGGTGACCCAAATCCAGGTCGTAAGTCGAATTGGTCTTAAGTCGAAATTGCGAAAATAATACATAGAAAATCTAAAATGGGTGTCTCTTTTTCTTCTCAGCACCACAGAACTCTCACTTTTAAGCTTGCCTGCCATTTTAAAGGGAATTACAAAAAAAAAATTTGTCATTACACAGCGCAATCACTAATGTCGGGACTCGAAAATATGTAATTTGAAAAACATTTTGGTACGACTAGGGCGGTCGTATGTCCAGGTGGTCGTAAGTCGAGGAGTGGCTGTGAGGCATGATGGTTAGATGTATTATAACAGAGATCATTCAGATGGTAAATTATTAAGATTTTGTTACAATGATTTGATGTCACTTGTCCTCATCACACCACAACACTAAGAAAATACCTGTCACTCTCATCCTATGCTTCATCCTTAGGGATATTAATGATTTACAGGTGAAGATTCTTTAAATTGTCTAAACTAACGTCCTCCACTATTCAATCCTAGCAAACACTTACAGCTAAATCTCTGTAAGGCCCTTTTGTGGAAACCAGAAGTATGCTACTGTATTTTCATTTCCTAAACAAAATTAATTTTACCAACAGTTTTAACTCAACTTTTTTTTTGTCAAGTTACTGTATCTTTAGATTTATCCAGCAAATGCAATTTCTCACTTTCCAGAAACTGGTTGAAACTAGGGTTAAGGTGAAGAAATCCTTAGCTGATGATTTTGATACTGTGAGAGCACTGGATGCTGTGATGGATCTAATAAACCTTGGCAATAAGGAACTTCAAAAACAGTCAAAGGTAGAAATTTACTGCTTCACTAAAGTACACAGGGACTTGACAATCTTCCAGTGAGAGTTTTTAGAATGTATTTTTTCACTGATGATTACAGGTACTTCAGGAAAACTTTAGGCCTTTATTTTTTTCTGAAATAAAAATCCCTTGAAATTTCTCTGAATGTTAGTTAAGATTTTCATAAGTATGGACAGTAAATAGATCTGGTTTCTTGTCTTAATATAGTACAGGTATAAGCATTATTTTGAAGTTAGGAGTCAGATACTTTTACCCAAGTAAAACCCAGTGAATAATATTGTAATATTGAGTTTCCCACTCTTTCCTCATTCCAAGAACTGCAGCAGTTTGTTCTATACAGTATCTTAAAAAGTTCTACATATTGATTTTTCTTACATGATGTTGACAGAGTACCAGCCTGTCCAGAAGTGGAGGGACAATGGCTGCAATTTGTAGTTATATCAACTACTTGATGGAGGATGTGTTTGGTATACATTTCCCTAGTGTGGTTAGTATTAACTTTGTTACTGAAGTATATAATGTGTATATAAGCCTTGTATGCAGATAACTAGTCATTATAATCAAGAGAGATCATTGTTGAAGCATATCTAATCGTTACCTTGAATTTAAGACATTTAAAGTGGTATATGTACTTTATTTGGGCCATATTTAAGTTATTAAATTTTTTGGGTTTTCTTACAGAGTGATGCTTTAAATTTATCTTTAGAGTCTGGCGGCCGTTTGCACAACATTATGAACTCAGTGATTGACTTAAGGCAAAAAATTAGGAGTTATGCACTGTTACTAGATGAGACATCATTGAAGGTGAGTAAGGAATTTTCAGCTTCTGTGCCTTGTTGTATCTTTCATTGTACAGTACTGTATGTAACATTGTTTCAGGGGTGTTTTGTGTGTGGATGTGTATGTAAATTGAGGAAATATTTATTTACCCAACCCCTTGTGTATGAATACCCCACTGACCTGAAAAAAGTCATCTTGCTTTAGCTAAATAAAATATTAAAAGTTGCATCCCCATAGTGAAGGAGTGTTAGGGGTTGTAAACTTTTGTAAACTTGAAAAAGATTCAGAAACCATGAAGGGGTTTAAGAGCCATAAAGTTACATTTGCTCAATAGCTTTGAGATTTGTTTGAAGTTTTCTTTAAAGAATTTTAGGGAATGCTTGAAGAATTATAAGTCAAGATTCTAAACATTTATATAATGCTTGAAAGGAATAAAACTGACTCTCCTCCTACAGCAAGTTCTAACACCTGAAGAAAAGAAAGCTAAGAGGAAGGAACGTTTACCTCTACTGAATGCTTGTGATGAGCTACGAGAAGATCTGTTGAAAACTGGCCTGCAGATTAAGGTAAGAGTTGAAGTGTTTGTTTATCTCAGATTCCTCCTGTGGTTTATAACACGTGATCCTGTACAGTACTGTATATGAGTTATTAGTAAATGGTGCGTTGAGCCAGCTAGATAAGTTTTGAGTAGACTTTCAATAAACTACCGTATAAGCTTTATATTCACAACATTTGTCAATTGCTGGATGACATTTCCTAATCATATACTGTATACTGTACACTGTACAGTATATTTGTATCATTTGTTAAATTATTCATTACTGTAATATTCCAAGTTTCCTAACAATATATTTCATACTTTATATCAGTACAGTACAGGGCTACGAATTCAGAATTATATTAATAATTGTCCTTGTAATAATTTACCTGGATTGTTTTATATGAACTACCTGTATTTATTCAGTGCTTGGGTAACTTAGGTTGTAGGCTCATGTGCTTAGTTCATATTCTGCTGCCATTGTACAAGGTTATTCCCTCACTCACTGCTATTTTTGCATACAATTTGTGTTGTACAGTACTGTACATTACTGTACCAGGACACAATCAGCCAAGAATACAGTGTTAAGATGTAAAAAATTATTACAGTTATTTATATACTGTGATGTACAGTCAAAGACAAAAGTCGTGTCCTTGTTCTGTTCGTTGTTCATGGTACATCTAAAAACCATATTGAAAACCATGACATGACTACATCCTGGCAGTTAGCAAGCCTGAATCAAACTGTTCCGATAATACAAAGAAGTTCGCACCGAATAGTTCACCATTGACGAGATGTTTTCACCTATTTTCTGGACACAATATTTGTCTAACTGTACATTCAGTAAGTGTGAAAGTACCATATGTACAGGACTGTACATGGCAGAGTGGACAGTATATGCTTACTGTAGGCTAGTGTGTAGAGGTGTATGTATAGTATACAGTGCATGATGAAGGAGGGGAGAGGAGAGTGACAGTTAGCAACACCTGCTACAGTAGATGGTACTATTGTGGACAAAAGCTCGCTCCTTGTAGTGAAACTGAGACACGGGAATGAGTCTACGAACTGACTTACCCTGATTGTTATCTGGTGCGGGTGTGCTGTGTGGGTCGATACTGCTTCAGTTTGGGAAGGAGCGAACTTTTGTCCACGATAGTACAGGACAAAGTCAGGCCATCTTGTATCATCATATCATCATTTGGACTGCCTGCATCACAAACCCAAGTCGACAGCATCTGCTTGTGAGTACAGTATAGTGTATACTGTACTGTAGTATATTTTGGTTATTGTATTTACAATATATTGTACGTGGACAGTGGTGTTTGTGTAAGTGAATACAGTTCTATGTCTGTTTGTGCAAGATGCGTAGTCTAGAGTCTCGGAAACCTTTCCCAATTACAGTACAGTTTACCTGGAGAAATTCAGAGGATATGCGATTGTGTCTATCCGTGCGAGATATATAGTTAAGACTCTCAGAAAACTTTCCCCATTAACCTAAAAAATTCCAGGGATGTATGAAATTTTCCAGGAAGAGAAAATTTGTCTTAATACCCAGAATTCTCTTATTCCCAGAACAACTCTGCACCAATTATTCTGGCTAGCCTACATTAGGCTTCCATTGTCCACTCTGTTATGTACAGTAGTTAAAACAACTATCTGTGCATACTTTTTGGGAAACAATATGAGACCATGGATGATAAATTTTGGTATATGAGGGCTGTCACTAGTCACACGTAAAATTTCGGAGCATATCATCCCCACCTGCACAGATAGTTGTTTTAGCTACTGTACAGTCAATAAAAAACCTATCTGTACTTGGGGGGGGGGGGAACGATGAATTTCAGAATTAATACTGTGGCTTCTGTTGTATCGGGAGGATTGCCAAAAATTTTCGTCCGTTATGTAATATTGTCTAAAAAATTTGTAAGGATAGTTTTTTGATTGAGTGTACAGTATTTTACATATGGTACTTTCACACTTACTGAATGTATAGTACAGTATGCATGTGTAATAATTTTTTGTCTTAACACTGCTTTAAAGGTATTCTTGACTGATTATATGCTGGTATAGTAAAATACAGATCGTATGCAAAAACAGCATAGACTGCAAGATACATCAGTCAATCATGACTCATGAGCACTCTGAGCCTACTCACACATGTGTCCCTGTGTCAGAAACATGATGCAGTCTCTCAAAAATTTGTTTGAATGCTCGGAATGGAGAGATTTTCTCAGATTTTTCTGGAAATGCGCTAATGCAATCTTTTGGAAATTTGTTTGGATATCCGTAATGGAGATGATTTTCCCAGAATGCTAAAAAAAAATTTCCGGCCATTGGAGAGTTTTGGGGATCGAAGATTCTGGTTAACGGAGAGATTACAGGGGGTCCCTGGGTTACGAATGGGTTCTGTTCCTGAGGACATTCTTACGTTGGATTTGTACGTAAGTCAGAACGCATGCTATAAGCATACCGTACATACAAATCAATGTTTAAAATCCCACTATATCATAGCCTGAGTCCTTATATCCATCTACAATCACTTAATTTAAGACAAAAGAAGAAATAAAATGACAAAATACAGTAAATGAAAGTAAATAATAAGTCATCAGGTAAATAAAATGCTGTAAATTTCAAGTTTAACCTCGTTCGTATCGGCAGGTGTTTGTAAGTCGGGGACCTCCAGTATTGTGTTTTAAAAATTTACCCATCAGGTTTAGAGACAAGCTGAAAGGTTATTTTCTTTCCAGGATCGTCATGGTGGCACTTCATGGTCTGTTGCAGAGGAATCGGTGGGTAAGTTATTCTCCAAAATATATTTTTAGATGGAATTGGGCAAATATTTTTTTTAATTGGTTTTACAAATTCTTTTGTGAATTTGTTGGCAAACTTCCAATTCTGAGAAAAAAAATTTTTACCCCCAAGATATTTCCGAGGACTAAGGTTTTGCCATTCAAGCCCTACTATTAAAAATTTTGATATGTTCAAAATCTCAATAAAGGTACAGTACAGTATTCCTTGATACTGTACATTGATTAAGGATCTGGGGTTACAAAATTGGAATTTGGGTAATTACTTGGCCTAATGACTACACGTATTTGAAAAATTTAATGCTTTGCAACTAATACCGGTAACTTACAATATGCACATTTGCATTAATTGAGGACTACCTGTACCCTTTCTCATTGTTTTTAATGACAAATGCTGCAGTTGAATTTAATTTGGGGGATTATTTTTTTTTTTAGGATGTGATTATCTTTTTGGATACATTTTGAAATCTATTTTTTACAGGAAGTGATAAACAAACGGAAGACAAGGAGGTATAACTTCCCCCACCACAAGGATTTCTGTCCAATCACATTCCTGATTTGCTTAGGGAATGGAGGTATGAATTATTGTAATTTGGTGTGTCTAAAAGGTTATTGACACCCTATTTTTTTCTGGCTGCAGTGAAGCATATCCAATATCATTACAGTGAACCCTCACTTTACGCGGTTAATTCAACCCACGGCGGTCCGCGTAAAGTGAGAAACGCGTAAAGTGAACAACATAACATATGGGATTAATTGAAATAGAGACCGGGCCAACCCCCAAACTCCACTTTTTCAGACACAATACCTACGTTGTAGTAAAAATAACATCTTAATTTTATGATGGTATGCACACACAATTAATAATTAAGAGAAATATCAATAATATTAGGTTTTTTAACACTTACATTAGTCGAAAAGATGGCTGGGCACACGTGGTTGGGGGATTGGTTCCGAGGCAGAGGGCAGATTATTGGCCCTCACTTGTATCAATTGTATCACTATCCACCACAGAGGCTTGCAGGACCTCTTTGTCAAACCCTCAAAGTCCATATAAGTCCATATCCTCACTATCATTATCACTGACTTGGGCTGGCTGTGGTGGGTGGCGGGTGAAGAACTCGGTAATGTTTTGATGACTGGGCGACCTTGTGCGCACCCTGCTCGCGCTGCTCTCCGCGTAAAAGGGTACACACACCGCGGAAAGTGAGCATTCCGGTTTCGGCAGGGTACCGCGTAAAGTGGGACCGTGTAAAGCGAGGGTTGACTGTACTGTAGATCAGGTATGGCCAATTTTCCTCAGTCATGGGCTGCTCTTACGATTAAGGCATGTTTCTGCGGGCCAACCCACCAAAATTTATATCCTACCTAACCCAAAAGTAATGTTATTATTGCAATAGCACAGACAGTGAAACGGTTTATCGTCACGTCCACCTTATGATATTTTCAGTTTACAATCAGTCTTTTTCCCAGTTATGAAACAAATACATCATAATACATTTTTAAGTAAAATGTTAATATTGTCCACATTTCCATATACGTGGAAACGCGGAATGTGGGAACGCTTAAAGCGAGGGTTGACTATATATATATATTATATATATACTCAAGGAATGCCTGTATTGTATTTTGGTTTAACAGAAGTTTAGGTATTCTTTCTTGCAGTATAAACCATTATATATTAACACTAGTACAATTTTTCCTATTGCTAGATGCTCCAAACAAGAAATTCTTCAGTCTGTATGGCTCACTGAGAAATAATTGACATACTTTCGTGTCCCAAGACGGTCTCCAACTGCTGATATTCAACGTTACCCAGGTTATTGCGTCAACAGACCAACAAATACATGGTATGCGCCTCCATCAAACTCCTTTTCATCACCTAAGTTAAGTTTCATTTTCTTGTCCCTTTCAGGTTAAAAATTTCGAATAAATTTTCAGGTGGCTTGTTTGAAAATATGTAGTCAAATAAAGAAGTTGCTACACTCACCCCACTAAAGTTTTACTCTTGTTCAGCATTCTATCACATCCGAGATAAAATATAAAGTACAGTACAGTAAATGTTGAGTTTATCTTAAATGTTAAGGATATATTTGTTCTATATTTTAATGGAATGATTAATCATGTGCGGTGCAAAGTGTTATTGTACATACAGTGTATAATGTAAATAGTTCAGAAGCTGTTGTTGCAAAGATAGTGTTAATATGTATAAATTAAAGAATTTCTCTCAACAATGCTTTTATTGTTCAAAAATTTTCACAGACAATGAAAGACAAGTATAAAAAAATATTTACATAGTAATAATCTAAGCGGGCATGAAAATTGTCTCCAGTTTAAATGGTCATTTTTTTTTTCAAATTCCACACAATGTAAGAGCCACAACTCTGAAACAACAAGCAGCTCACAATGCTTTGGTGAAAAAAATTTTCTACATCAAAATAACTATGAAAGGGATGTTTCTAGAACTCAAAAATGACCTGAGGACATAAGCAATATCATCCTAAATTACAAGATAGGTCTTTGCTTCAATTAATTACATGCAATAGTAAAACTTGCAAGAACTTTATACATTAAATTAAAAGGAAACATAAAAGTTCCTTTTTATCTTTGATTTAATGGTGACCTCTTCTTAGCCATCAACAATTTACAATGTCATTATTTCCATAAGTATCTGGTACACTTTATTGCTTTGAAGACAATTCACCAAGTAAAAAAAATATATATACAAGTATAAATTAATGAAAATATTGCCACTATTACAAAATGGCAATAGCTTTACCGTGGAATACAAAATTAATGATCCTTTTCACAATGGTCCCTCTACATACTCTGCAGTGCCATTTTCTACATATGGCCACTTTGTCTCTGAAACTTTTCAAACATTTTAGTTCAACATAGTCGAATAAGTCAATACAAGTTACACTCTTGAATTATGCAAGATTATGAGCTGCAGTATGGACCCAAAAAAAAAATCAATACGTAATCTTATTAACACTTGGAAGCATAATGGACACACCTGGACCCATGCTTTCTCAGCACTTGAGATCTGTAGATTTTTACATATACTGATTTGTGTCGGAGAATTGTCAAGGTAACATTACCTTGCCTAAATTAGTCTGTTATACAATTGTAACTCAAATGCTGTTCAAGAACTCAGGGCCTGGACATGCCAGGTTCACGGAATAAGATCATCTGACTAGATTATTAAGGATGAAATTTCGGTGACAGGGCAAAGAATTATGCACTCAAACTGGCTGGCAGTATATAAGGACTGTTTTACCATTACAATGTAATGAACACTTATATTACATGCCCAGACAAAGTAAAGAAGACCTTTTGTTCCTGTCACATGAACAGGGCAGTAATTAATATATATATATATATATATATATATATATATATATATATATATATATATATATATATATATATATATATATATATATATATATATATATATATATATATATATATATATATATATATTCATCCTTTCCATACATTAAACACCCTTTAGTGACACAGTATGGTTTCGCTTTGTAATAGCTGGCTAGTAATATATATTAAAACAAACTTCAATACCCGTCACTAGTTCATATTGTTGTGGTGGCCCTTGAAACATTTTAAGTATAGATGCCATGTACTTAATGATCACAAAATTATGTGCTTTCTTTTTCTTTGTGCTTTTACACTAGACCTGGAGGTGAAGGTGTCATGTTAACATTGTGTCACAAATGTAAACATTTAAACATACCTGCAATCAAAGTTTAAAATCATAAATATGCCTAATTTTAAAGTTCCGTACAGATTGAGTCACCTACTATGACAAATTTTATCTGCTATTTTGATAAATAAGGACACTGCTAGCCAGGCATTCTGGGTACAAGTCAATGAGAGGTTTAACAGAGTACCAATAATTTCACTTTTGCTAAAATTTGGTACCAAATTCATCATTCTTGAAATTGAGTGAGAGCTAATCACTGCTACTGCTTACGAGATAATGAAAGCACTCACATAAATAATACGGCTTACTCTCAAGTCTGTGCGAAGACAGGAAATATGACCCTAATTTCTTTCAACATTAGCTGATATTCCTCCCAGCATGTTACTGATGGTCACATGAAAATAGAACAGGAACAAAGTGTTTTATAATTCTCATCTGTTGAAAATGGCACCTACCAACCCAAATACTAACCTTATGCCAAGTCCCTCAATGCTTCTTAAAATCACCATATGAATGTGGTTATAGGGGAAAATAGCAGAGGGAGACTAATGTGGTAAAACTAGTTCTGAGAAATGGTAAAGAAAATAACAAAATAAAAGCATGAGGAATAGCACAGATGAGTAATTTTGAGATGGTTAAAGTGAATTATATTTGAGCAATCAGTGTCCATTATAACCCACCATTATAACCCAGACAGTTTATACAGTATGTATTTAAAAATCTTCAAGAAAAAATTTCCAAAATGATTCAAGGTCCTCAAGAACGACACATTTCAAAACGGCAACATGGTTTCATATGCAAATAATTTTTTTTACTGATTACTTCCAATTAATTTGCAAGTGCAGAATGATTTATGCCATACAGATGACTAGAGCTTTAATTGGGTCAACCTGTACAATGCTCAAACTCAATTCAGCAATGATGCCATCTAGTACTGTCCTTAATATTCTATGTACAACACCAACAACACATTTGGAACACACTAATGTATGTTATCCACACAACAAGCTGGTAATCTTGATTGCCACTATCATGCCTACTTTTTAGAAAGAAATTTCACACCCACCACACAGGATGGTCCTCTATTCGTTGGTCAATTTTCTTAACTGTCCAAAAGCTGTTAATATTAAACAGGACATTGAACACATACCCCCCAAAATATTGATTTATCATGTGTGGAATGTATTAGCAACATTACACTAATGTAATGTGGGCTATTTAGAGTAATGGCTACATCATTCATTCAATATGAATATGGGGTTTGAGTAGATTTATGAACTTATGCATTAACACAGGTTTGTCATTCTAGAGGTAGTGAGGACTTCCCATTTCCCTGTAACCCTGTACCTTTCTCTTCTTGTAAAACCATGCATACAATTACAACCTATACATATGCACATGGGAGAAGCAGGTTGAGCTTCCAGTCATACATGAACAGAAGTGACTTTACTATCTATTTAATCAATAGCATCCCTTTTTTTTTTCAATTCCCAAGCAAGTTGTATCCAAAACTTCCCAAAATATTTTTGGAAGGTGATCGTCTCCACACCTTCCAAGTGTTGGAGACTAACACCAATGCTCATATAAATTTCTGTAGAGCATTACAGATAAGTGACAGCAGTAGCCACTTTCTTGCACTGTACTAACAATGTGTGAAAAGAATGACCGTTACTTCAGCAAGTATACACAAGGAGGAGATCAAAGTGGGGAAGCATGAAAATACATGGAAAGGTATAAGGAAGCAATGTTACACATTAACGAAATCCTTACACAGAAAATATTCAATACATACTTAGAACTTAACTTTGCATATAACAAATGCACTCGATGATAGTAGCATAGTACAAGTATATCACCTCCCAAAATTTCTTAGTGCATCCTCTGCAAATGTAAAGTTCATCATAGTAACTATGGGCAATTTCTGCATTTAAGAATTTTTGCTATTATACAAGATTCAATAATTCCTCCAGTTAGTGTAATCTTTATAGTAACCTGTATATCATATCACACATCTTGATGTTAAAACACTTTTGAATATGAAATGTTTCTGCTCTACCATTATTTGATTCTTTGTTTTGGTATGAGCAATTTCTTTATAAATAGGTAGTGATGGCAAAACTGTGTAATCATTACTTTTGCAAAAACATGAGTGCCAACACTAAAAATAGATTAAATAGTTGCTTGTTTAAAGGGTATAGTTCTGATGCCCTACTGAATGCATTTATAGTAATGTTAGAGCATGGAAATTGACTGGACACCTTCATATTAAAAAAATATGAACTGGACACCTTCAAGTAAAGACTGGATACAGACAGTTAGATGCATCCACACACAGATGAAGTTCACTATCTGAGGGATGATCAGGCTGCCTAGAATCATTGGTAATTAAAACCCAGTGTAAGAGAGCTAAGGTCGGCAAAGCACAAGCTGTTTGTGCCACACACAACTGAACTCTCTTTAATAACTAGCAACCTCACAGAGCCGTCTCTTTGCGAGGAGTGGGAGTGGTGACATGACCTGGTGCTGTACGAGCTGAAGCACCACAGGACCCAGGAGTGGTGGGAAGGCTAGATGTTGGACGGAGGCCATGTGTTGCCCTTTGACGGGGAGAACGAGATGCAGTTACATCACGAGAAGGTTTGGCCTCTTGAATCTTTCGCAGCAAAATCTGAAACAGAAAGAAAAAGAATCAAGGAACATATCACGCTTACTACAAAATTACAGTAATGAAATACTGCAAACAAAAAATTTAGCAATAGCAGCATAAGATTGAATGCTTATTATAAATTATGGTTGCATATACAACATACGAGTATAACATTTATCATTTGCATATCAAAATATATACAGTAGCCTATCTGCAATAACATCTGATCAGTTCAACATAAGAGCTAACTAGAAGGGGCTGGGGGGGGTCTAGAGTCTTAGTCCTTCTAAATACTGTATTTTACATATCAAGGGGATAAGTTACTACAGTACTTCATATCTGTAACAAGAAAAATAGTTTTGAGTATGATACTGGAAAAATAAACCTACATTCAAACGAATCACTTGAAATAAAAGCATGTCCATGTGACATTGTATTTCATCATCACTATCAACATTTAATGGCCCTTTTCCATGGTAGTGTGGATTGTATTTATGAACAAAAAAGGATTAACCAACCAGATATTTGGTTTGTTACAAGCGTTCTATTGAAGTACCGGTACTGTACAGTACATTATTAAATCTACTGGTATGTTACTGTGCTCCATTTCCCAAAAACATTCCACAGCACATTTTAATGAACATTCCCTAATAAATGTAGTTACTACAGGGTATTTATCAAGTGTTGAAGAATGGCAGTCTCTTCATATTGATTAGGAAAACATAATAAACTCAGCTAAGTGAATAGCAGTAGACAACTCTGGTTAAAGCAATACTGTATTTCAATTTAAAGGCGAAACTCGTAAAATGTAAGGTAGTGTACAGTACAGTATACCAGGTATACTGGGTACAACTTTTAAATACAGATCTTACCTAGCACTTTTTTTAGTATTCACTTACATTTGCAAGTTTCCATTATATATGTACAACAGTTCTTTGTTTTGCCCTTCTATTTCATTATTTTTTACCCTTACTAATTAATCACCATGATACAAAAGAGAATACTGTACACCGTTTCAAAGCTTTAGTCACCTAACTTCTGTTACCAGAGTTCATTATAACTGTAATTATTCTTCTTGCTTGTCCCTCCTCACCTATATATAGAGCTTATACAGTAACACTTCATCTTTCAGATGTTCTATATAATTTTTAAGGAATGCCTTTTTTGCCTGTGCTCATTACAGGAGTTCATATAGCAAGGATTGCCTGTACAACTCTTGTTGCACTTTCCCCTTCCAGTATGAATAAAAAAAAAATAATATAAAATTCCTTTAAGAGTACAATAATACTGTAGTGTTACCTACTGAATAATGCACATGTTAAAAAAAAAATGCAAATCTTATAGTATGCAAAGCATCTTTAAATTTTTGGGGTTAGTTTTGCTCTGAATCATTGTGCTTATGAGAATTTACAAGTTATTTTAACTAACAACAACCTACTGACAAATCATACTCATTCCTAAATAAATAATAAATTAAATTTTCTCCAAGTAGCTCTGCATTTCTTATTTGATGCCGAGAATGAAAAAGTAGTTACTATTTAAGAAAAAATGAGCACGTACAAGTATATGCTTATCGTTACCTGATAATATGGTATAAAACATATTTAATTAAAAGATAAGACTGACTACTCTCTATACAGTATACTGTATTGTACTTTACTTTCTTCAAGTTTTAGTCCAGGCCATCTCAATTTGCTCACTAAAAACTAAAGAAATTACCATATGCAATACCAATAAATCATAATACCGAAGTCCCATTGTAGAAGATAAAACACTGTATATTTTGACTAACAACTGCTGAAGAGGCCTGTGGTTATGGTCAAAATATAGGCCTGCAATACTCTTGTTTGCTGGTGTTTTATATTCTAGGGTGGGATTTCAGTGTTTACTGAAAAGTTTTATAAACTGTTGAAAAAATGAAAAACACATCACCCTCATCAGCTTTATATCACCCCCTAATATACTATATAGCGGTACAGTACAGGGTAGAACAGGGGCATTAGGCTCACGGCAAAATGGCTTAAATATTTTCGTGAAAGATCAGCTTTGTTCATAACGTGGACCTATTTCACGCGGTCATTAAACTAAAGCCTTGAAGGCCAAAACCACCATGCAAATTGTCTCTTCATACAAAACTAAATTAAAATTTCTTTTTCTTTATACTGAACTCATTGGTCATGTACACACTTTGCTTGAAATTAATACTACATAACTGTCATATCTTTTTTGAGTTTGATCTAACTTGATTATCACTCTGGATTTAGTAAAGCCCTGGTTGATGACATAAGGCTTTAATTACTGTAAGGTACACATACAGTACATAAATTCATGGTCTTACTTTCATGGTAAACCTTTGTTCACTTATGGTTCAGATGGTTTAATGAGTGCAGTACTGTACTGTACTGTAGACACAATGGCCACCAGGAAGGATAAACTGTACTTGCTGGGGAGCTACACCAATAATGACAACAGGCATAATGAACAAACAAAACATAATTTGCTTAAGAATTGCTGGAAGATCATTAGGTTATATAAAGATTTTTGGTTAGTTCCTTCTGTCAGCATTAATGGTGAAGCCAGAAACAATGTCCTTGCCTGGACAACTAGTTAACAGCTGCAACCAAACAGCCAAAAAACTATGATAAAACTTCTTATATGTATTTAACAAGTACAGCATTACTACCCAAACAAATATTGAGTGTGCAGTAGCCAAAACGCATCATGACTTTAGCCTTCTATGATAGTTCGCAACAAAATATTGCAGCCAGTTTACATAAAAACAAATAGCACACGTGATAGCAAAACAATGTACTATATTCAGTCAAATGACGAGAAATAAACAAAGGATGGGAATCATGGTACAGTACAGTACCTACAAATGTGTCTAGAATTTTATCTATATTTTCATGGGATTGTTTAATGGGTCAAAGATTAACTTATCCACTTTCCCAACTTCATATTAAGTTGTCTGAGATGACCAAACAACAATAAATAAACTTAGTCTGGTCACAGTACTGGTATACCTACAAAACTATAGATGGTACAGTACTGAAAATATTACAAATGAAACCTGATGTGCAATATGTATCTTTATAAACTGTATAGTTTAGATTCTTACTAAATGTCTCAAAATAAATAAGAGAAGCTACATATTAAATTAACTAGTGTGACACTGGTCACCACCAGACGGCATAAATTGCTAGTCATTTTTTTCACTATTGCACACCATCTATCATAGGTATGTTAAGTATGAGTATGTACCCTTTTCAGTTATTCTGTAATATTTTCTTGCATTCCACAGAAATAACACCTTATTCATTTATTGTGACTTTACACACAAAATCTGATCTGACAATTCAAATAAGGTTGTACGTCAAAGGTGTTTTGTTAACAGTCCAAATGTATGAATATTTTGGTTTACTATATCATATAAAACAAATGAAATGCATTATGTGATATTTACATATTTTACAATAAGAGAAAGTTCACAATGAACAATATACAGTACAGCATCTTAGTGCAAGAACAATGTACGTACTGTACTGTCATTTGGTGCCATGTCCCATAACTTTTGAGAGATGGGGTAATTACACCTTTGTAAGATTATGAGCTTCATTATTTAATTTTATGACAATTAACTGCCTTACATTCTCTTCCTTATCTTAGCCCACCACCAATACTGCTCTGAAAAAATCTTGACAAACAGAAATGACATGTATTACTGTATCTGATGGGAACATCATTTTATTAATGGATTCTTGCTCTCGGATTGCAATTTAAAAGGCAGTGGGTATTTTGCCATGACCGATAAGTTGCTACTAACATTATTTTACCCCGAGTGCGCTCTGATTGGCTAATCGTCAATTACCAGCGAACAATGCAAGAATTATATTTGACTGTTGTGTTGCTGAAAACATACCTAACCATGTGTCTATTGTGCATGGAAACTTATTATATCAGGCGACATTTAACAGAACCTGACCTAACCAACCAAAGAAACCTATCTAACTTCCTAGCCAGGGGTGTGGACCCCATCATATTAAACAAAGTACTTAGGCAATCAATGCGTAATCACGGTTAAATAACGTGAGTAGGAACTTAGCTGTTCACGGCAAAATATCCACTACAAATTTAAAAAGGGGGTGGACATTACAATTACAGGAAATTTTGATACTAAATTGAAAAATGATTTCTTACCATATTTTCTCTGCGAATCTTCTCATCTTCTCTCCTTCTACTGACAGTGGCGTTAGCAGGTTTGTGGACGGGCCGACTATTATGATTGGAGGAACTTTGGTGTTTACTACGATTGTGCGCACACATGATCTTCTGGAGCAAGATCTGATTTTCACGATCTATCCTTCGCACTTCGTCGTTTGTGAAGGACATATTCTTGCGGCGATAATGTTGCATTGTCCTGCGTAGATGGCGGTGATGGGGACTGGCATCGATGGGGTGGATGGTGATGGGAGACGATGTTTGGTGGTGATATGAGTTTTGGTGATGACTGAACTCATTAGTTCTGTTGTTCACTTGTCTGTGCTGCTTCTTCTCCAGTTCCACGACAGCCTTTAGTAATAGTGTCATGTCAGTGGAGTCATCGCTGTTGCTGTGACTGTAGCCATTGCAATGGGGCTGTGAATCATAACCCTGATCATAAGTAGAATTTTCTGGGTGATATTCGAAACTCAAATCTCTGTTGTCGTGGAGTGCCAATGGAGAGGTGCCCAATGCACGCCGGGGTAGAACTGGAGACAGACCCAAAGGACTAGCAGTGGCTGATATTAGTGGTGAAACATCCGTGATATCGCTCTCACTGTCACTGTCATCATAATCGCTGCTGTCACTGCTCTCTGTCTCGGAGGAGAGATTGGAGTTCTCCCCATCCATGTACACCAAAGTTCCTCTCTCTATGAGTCGATCCACCTGAGATTTGGGGTCGTCGTCGTCACTGCTATCACTGTGGTCGTCGTCTGAGTCACTCAGGTCACTCTCCTCCCACTCATCAGAGCTGTAGGGGTTGGGGTCTACGTGTTCCATGACTGCACTGGCTCCTTGCTGCTGTGCCTCAAGTGAACTCGCACTACCAACCTTCCCAGGCGTGTTAGAATCACTACTGACACTTGCACCACTATCCTCGTCCCTCGATACCTCCTCTGATCCCTGATGACCTTCTACTGGGCTCCTCCTACTGGCCTGTTGCCCACTAGAAGAAGTGTCCTCCACACAACGGTACCGGGAGTCCACCAAACAACTCGCACCAGGTGGAGAGGAAGAACCGATCACAGAATTGTATGTTGATCCACTAACTACCTTACACCCTTTAGTCCTTTCAACATCATCATCATCGTAAAAACAAAAATCCACTTCACCACGAATGTCAGGTTCGTACTGTGTGTCGTTCAGTCCTATTTTGTGAGCCATCCTGCCCCGTACACGGGTATTATAAGAGTCCCCTGCTAGCCATCCGTCTGCCAGCCTTCCCCGACCGGCCGTCCCGCTGCCATTGACTACCTCAGGCTGGCCAACCATATCCGTGACGTCACTCACACCCACTACCTTACCATGGGAGAAACTGTTGAAACTAATCTTAATTTAATTTTAAAAATTATATTACAATCTAATCATAAAAAGCTTAAATAAAAGTTTATCGTATGTATATATTTCAAAGCTTAAACCATAAAAAATTATTCTGTCAAAACCTTGGGTGTTGGCACCGCCGAAGTGACGTCCAAAAAGCGTCACAAAGTAGGCGGAGCTTCGGTGAATCATGTGTAAAGCAACTGACAAGAGCTCGACGCAAAGCCCATTTTCCCAAGAACAGGCTTGCGAAGCGGTTTTCCTGTAAGTGGGGGCTGTATCCTTTATCCATCTGATAACAAGTACAGTCTGTCACGACATCCATCCGGTGCACAGGCGATTATTCCCCCTGAGTGCAATGGTAGGAGCGGGCGTTACTTTATTTTTCTCTACGATGTACGAGTTATTAAGTTTCAATATACCACAAACAATAATGCGACATTATCCCAAACGATTCGGCTTATTAAATATCTCATGTTTAGCTCATCCAACGATGACAATTTAAAAAAAAATGCGAGTTTGTACTGAAGCTCACGGGGTTGTTGACCTAAATACGGCGGTTACTTACAAGGAACGGTACCCTCAGGTGACTGATGTGCTAAGTTAAGGAGTTGTAATCAGGGCTTTAAAGTTCACTCAAATATGCTTTAAGGAATCTGTATGTATGTGTGTAAAGACAAGACGTTTACAGTGTATCTATGGATCTAAAAATCAGTGTTTATGTCAACTTTCAATCCCCAAACTTAACATCTACACAAATTCAGGTGTTGGAGACATATTTCCCCCAACGCACCTAAAATTTTGTACAAGCTTAAGTTGACATGGCTTTGGTTTTTAAGGCTCTTAATAAAGGTCTCTATATACATCTTGACTGGTTTCAAAACAGTATCGTGCCACTCTTAAACCCCTGATATCGTCCTTTTTATCAAATCATCAAGCAAAGGATACTCAAACGTTGGTAATTGTATTAGTGAGCAAGACTGGTTAATAAATTACTTTACTCTGTTGAATAACTAAAAGTTTATCTAAAGTGGTACGTTTATAAGCAGTTCAAGAAGAAGTTAACAACATCGGTAGAGTCTCAACATCGGTAGCATGGGTTCAGCGACAACCTGTCGTAAGCTAACGATAGTACTTGCAAAGAGTAATGCAGTAATCACAGCACATCTCCGGTTCTTTGTATCTTTCCACGAAATTGGAAGGTGGAATAGTTAAAAAGATTATAGACCTGTCTGTTGGATATCCGAAGAGAGTTTGTCCTAGTATTGGGTGGCGTGTTGGTGAGGACTGCACCACCGCCGTGGGGTGTTAGGTAATAGGGTTTTGGGAATCCACATCCACTGCCCAGATGCGTTAAGCAACTTGCTCGGTTACAGTACACTCGTCGGGAATTTGGCTGACGACAAACAACTTGCTACAGTTTACGGGACTGTCAGGTGTTCGGGCTAACATCAATCGATGACAGTTTCTGGAGCTATCAGGTGTAACGCTACTAACAACAAACCATGGAAAACTGTCAGGTGTTAGCTGACAACAAACACTGAACTAAGTCGTTTGGGTGACAATCGGTTACAGTCTACGGTAGTTGTGTTCGACTAACACAAAATTATCTCCCCTCTATTTTTCACATTAAGAGAGACTGTTGTCCCTGTTTCTCCTTTCTTCTTGTAAACAATTAATCGTCAAACCTTCATATATATATTTTACGAGAGTTCTCAGAATTTATACGAATAATAATAATAACCCGTGTATATTTTGGTTATTAATTACAGGTAAGAAGTAAAACAAAAAATGCCTAAATTTGTGGGGTATCGGTCCAATATTCTATCGAAAATCAGCGAATATACATGGGAAAGATGCCTTGGTTTAGAGACTTTGGCAATTATATACATAGTTTTCGAATTTATGCATTTTGACCATTTTATAGGAATCAAACTTTATAGTATTTAAAGATTTTGGGAGTTCTGGGCTATCATTCCTGTTCTTCACTCAATTTACTTAAAACTCTTTACATAGATCCCTGAGTGCATACCCCAACATTAATATAATATAAAGAGATTTGGAAATTTTGTCCTTTTGCAGGGGTTCAAAGAAAAGAAAATCGTTTTCGACACAATGGGGGAGGGGAAACTGTTGCATTACCTTTGAATGTTGGTACCTTTCATATAAAATTTCAAGAAAACCAGATATTACATACTAATACATATATCAGTTACCGAGGGACCCAGTCTACTGACACTAGTGTATGTTATGAGTCACGCTCTTTCGCATGCCCTACTAAGAATATATTCACGCTACCAATCATCTTGTAAACGAGAAAGTGGAAAGGATAGAGAATGGACGGCCTTCTACCCCCTAGGAGCGAGCAAGGAACAAGGCCACGATTTCATGTCGCCATCGAAAGCTCTCCACTTTGTTTTTCACCGTGAAAATTTTTCTTTCTGTCTTTATGAACATAATGACTTGAAAGAACTTCACAAAATACGCTTCTGAAAGTATACAGGGTACTGTAATGCGCCTGTGTCGTAACTTAAGACTGCTACCGCATTATATCTCCTAAAGTAACAATACTTAAGACATGGGTTTGTGATACTGCAGACAATAAGATAGCAAGCAGTAAAACAAACAGATTGCTTCACATAGTTTTTTCTCTTAATAAGCTTTAAATATATTTTACTCCAACGGAATATTATTCAGTAAGCAGCGGCACCTAAGCTATACATGTTTATCACTACGTGGATACACAGAGTAGTCAAGGTCCCCAAAAGTTACACAGCTGGGGACTGAGTGAACGTCAGGTAGCATGTGGATGTGACGTGTGGCTCTGTAACAGATCCCTCCCTGGAGCGTGGACAAAATCCCACCTTAGTTTAGGTGGAATCTGTCTCATAACCTCTTATAATCATATGAGTAAATGAGGTGATGTATTACCTTTCAAACTAACCTCATTTAAAATAAAATAAAAATAAAAACAGATCACTGAACTAAAGAGTAAAGGCCACATGGATATTCAGTAAACTTCCTCCACTCAAGAAATAAACAAAACACCGGTCCTTGTTTTGGTTGGGCGTTGTGGGTAGAGACTGTAGTGTATAATAATAGGGGGTCACTTTTACTTCACTTTTTCATTTGATAAGACACAACACCTTGTGAACGAATGGAAGTGGAAATAGGCTTTTAACGGCTTTCTTGGACAATCCTTGGTAGAATTATCTTACTATATATCATTATTTGTATATGTGTTCTGTGTATGCACTTAATGAACCAACATGAACTTATATGACAGTCTTACTGGATAAATATCTCTAGCTAACGACTGCGAGGCAGGAGTCACCCTTGCTGGCGGGGAAGAGGCGGTTGATACCGGTAAGAGTGGCAAGGTTTCTTCTCTGGTTTGTCAAATTTCGAATAAGTCTGTATCCTTCACGTTACAGTTTATTACATACAGCTCCCCATACTGTTCCTTCTTAAACGTGAATACAGTGTTATCGGGGTCATGGTGTGTTCACTACTAGGTCGTCAGGTTCGAAATACAGTACGGTTATGACGGAGGAAGATCACGTGCTGGGCAGCTGCTGGACCTTAACCAAAGGACGCTCGCCATTGGCTCCAGCCTCTCTCTGTCTCTCCACCATGGCAACGTCGAGATAGTAGATGTTGGGATGTTATCTTTCAACACTACATCAATAACAAACTTGGATAACTTCACAAGGAATGAGGAAGGGCTGCTTGTGACAATATAATCCTTGATAAAACTAATCACGACGACAAACTAGCCGGCATTTTTACCATTGTTTGTACACCTGCCCTGTCTACGTACATGCTGACCTAGATGAACTTGTATTATATATTACTGAATAAATTCTATCACTTGGCTGACGCGAACGTTCAAAAGTACAGTATATGAATAAAAAAATACCACCCTAAAAAATACACCAGACTATTCTCAACTGGAAAAACAAAACAAAAAATTCTCACCCATTTTCAATTATTTTTAAGTCCTATTCCCCTGCTGGGTTAGGTTAGGTACTGTCCTATAACCATACTGGTAAAAAAAAAACCTACTGTAGCCTAAAAGCGTTTTACACTTACCGAGTTCAGAGGGTGTAATATGACCATTCGAGCCAATGATAAAAAAACACGTAAGGTTCATTTACTCTGGTTAGTGTCAATTAGAAGCTATTGTAACAAGGATCGTAGCTAGGTGACCTATAAACATTCTTAGACACTTGGGTGAAGGAGAGAGAATAATGATCACTGGCAAGTCTGGTGTACCCTCAATATAGTTCTGGGGCAGAGACCACTAATATTTCTGGGACAACTCACGGTCACAACACACACACCACACCACACCACCTCACCCCCTTACTCACTTTCTCTTTATATTTTTTCCCCGTCTCCTACCACTCACTACATGAATAACAATGAGAGAACACAGTGATCGTTTTAATAACATCATACAAGTTCACATTAGTCAAGCACGTATACATAGACAGGACAAGACTACAAACAATGGTAAACAAAACGATTTAATCAAGGATAGACCTAGGAAGATGTTATGAACGTATTTACATTACTTCTGCATCATCAAACTCAAACATTCTTGGTAGTGGTGATATTTGTGCTTGGTACTATAGAGGGTCTGTTGGCATTTATGGTTGGATAAGGTGAAACGGGTCCTGGGTATGGTGGTGGTGGTGATGTCCGTGGCTAGGGGAACACGCAGGTGGTGGTGTGGGTATTAGTCCTGTCCGTGAATGAATGAGCCGAGACAGAGGAGTTGGTGGTGATTATGTTCTTGGCTGGGTGAGCTGAGAGAGACGCTGGTGGCAGTGATGATGTCCGTGACTGAGTGAACTGAGAAAGAGGTGATGGTGGCGGTTCATGCTCCTCGATGGGTGAGCTGAGACAGAGATGTTGGTGGTGATGTCCATGGCTAAG